ATTTCGCCTCATTTTAAGTCATTCTTATAAGATTAAAATAATAAATCTGAATTAAAAGAAAGGTATAACATTTAAAATATTAAATTTATATTTACGGTAGCTAAAATCTCAGTCTTACAGTTTTCTGGATATAATTCAGTACATATGTTGTAAGGATTATAGGTTTTACTAACGTTTATTTTATTTTAAAACTTTACTGTCCTCTCTCATTTTCCACTTCCGGCCAGAACAAACGCGGTTAGTTTCAGTTATGCAAATTGAGCTTGCAAACTGTTAAGTACTTAAGTTGTGACTTTTAGTCAAGTAGGAGTTAGAAAGAGAGACTTCTCGCTGCCTTAACTCACGCGCGCTTTTCAGTCAGTTTCTGTCCGCCTTTAAGGCCAGAATTTAGTCCTCTTGATACTGAAGACGTATTGCAGTTTTCCCGCATTCTGCGTACTTTACATACGTAAAGATTAACCCGCGAAGACGCACGCTACTTTTAGCTACGCGAGGACGCGCGTCGGGTTCCATAGGCCCGAAGCGTTTTTCTTAACAAAAAAATAAAATTACTTGTGTAATTGAAGAAAAACATTTAAGTAATGAAAACAGAGTGTATAAAATATAAATATATACTTTTAATTTAATAAGTCTAATAGAATTGTATTTTAAAACAATTTTAAGACTGAAATTATTTATCTTTAACAACAAAAATTAAACTGATTTCTTTTTGAGCGCAAATGAAATTTAGTAATTTCATAAAATTAGTAATTTATGCAGTATTAAATTTTTACAGCAATAATTTCAAAATAAAACTTACATTTCACTTTTTTTTTGCAAATAATCGTGCTGTGTTTACCACAAACATTTTTCTCGCACATAGCGCAGCAAATTGGTGATTTTCGGGCCGTTACGCAAGACTGTAAACTTTTTCTTAAATAAAAACTTTTACTTAAGCAAGTCTTGGTTCTTTTTTATTCCATATTGTCGCATTATATTTGCCAAGATAACAATTCGCTGACGGACACAAAATTACTTGATTCATTACTAGATTTATCGCTTGAGTCTAATGCCTGTTCAGAATTTGATTGGTGATTCGATTGGTGAACTATTTTTTCGTCCTCTTCATTAATTGTATCTTCATCAGTCGACACTTCGGCTAATAGTTTCGGTAGTCTTTTCTTTCTGTTCATTTATCGTCATAGCTCAAATAGCAAGACGTTTTTTCAACTGCCTGATCTCTTTCTCAATTTTAAATGACAATGCGAGCGCGCGCCTCGGGCCTGGGAAGCCCGGTTACTCGGTTTCTGATAAAAGATGAAAGGTTTAATTTTGGAAATGCTTGTTACTGACAAGTACATGACCTTAAACGCAGCTACTGAGAAGGTCGAAAAATTTCACCAAAGGAAGAAATTTTTGGATTACGTTTTTGTTTTGTCGGGCCTCGCAGGCCCGACGCGCGTTCTGCAAACTGTGAAGAATAAAGGGTAATTAAAGCCTTCCCATTTATGTCGTATCTTTTACAACTGCAACGAACATAGTTTTAAGCAAACTTCCTGTTCTACTCAGGACTCCAGTATGTTCGTAAAGTGAATAAGAAGAAAGTCCTGATAATGTAATTAAATAAATATCAACAAACTTTTAGTTCACTTAAATTTAATTAAACACAAATAGTATTTAAAATAAAATTTAAAATAAAAATTTAAAATATTAATTTGATTCAACAAAACTAAATGAGTTTGCAAGCTATAGATTTTTCATTAATGATTCCGTGAAAACAGAAGGCAGAAAGTAAAAGTTTTTTCAAGAGGCTGTAAAAAAGAATGGCACTTAACTAATCGAACTACTGAATATTTTATACTGAAACTTGAAAGAGACTAAGCTGCAAACCATTAAATGCATACTGAAATGCATACTTGCAGGGTTCGGACAACCCCGAGTAGTCTTAGAAAGCCGTCCGTGTGGCTTAATGGCAAACCGCACAATGAGTTGATCATTGTTAACGAATTTCGCTTACTGCGCATGCTCAATGGTGTACCGCTGGCGTGGGCGAAAATACTGGCGACTAAGCATAAGCAACCCTACACAAGCCTTTTCGCCATGTAGGTCTTATCGACTGTTTACAATTGCAATAGTCTATTTCACTTACAATAATTTATTTGACCTTTAATTCAGTAATTTAAACTAAATTTAATCCTTAAATTGTTAAAGTATATATGAATGGAACGTATGGTAAATACTCAATTGTTTTTAATCCTCAGAAGTATAATTAGCTAATATATCTTGTAATGTTTCCTGTTTTGTAATCCTTTTTAAGAGAAAATTTGGGTATTTTATAATCGACATTTACATTCCATGTAATGAAGCAGCTTACACAACCTGACACGTTTTAAAACCTCGAACTGTTTATACCCAAGATAACACAATATCAACCATATATCGTATTTATCTTCTTTTTAAATTGCTCCAAAGTCGTAACTGCACCAAATTCCGTTTTGGGCATGCGCAGTAAGCGAAATTCGTTTAATATTGATCAACTCAATGTGTGGTTTGTCATTACGCGTCCGGGTGTCCGGCCCTGCTGTCACCTGTCACCTGCATACTGAAAAACTAGAAATACTAAAGAATATAACAAACATTTCACAAAGATTATTGAAAATGAGATTATGTATTTAATATACGCGAATATCATCCTACAGAAAACAATAAATATGAAAAGGAATTTTAAATGGCAGCATTAGTACAGATTCAAAATATCCCTTCCTAAATCTGCTTACAGAGAACGTAATCTTCCCTTGAAGTGACCAAGAATCTGGCCCTAAAACCCTAAAGTCTCCCAAAAGCTCATGAGAATGCGGTATTTTCTTAATTTTATTTCCAAAATAATTAACCCACTTTGTAGTTTGACTTCTTCTTTCTTGATATATTTAATACCTTAACTGTTCGAACATGTTTCAAGTGCATGCCCAAGATGCATGTTCAAAACGGATTTTCAAGATGCATACTCAAGGCGCATATTCAAAATGCTGTATGAATTTAAATGTATCATGACAAATATATTTGAGTGTATGGTCTGGCCGCTTGGAGGATTAAGTCTGTTGCAAACAAATTAAAGCAAAAACACTTTCTCTTGTTTTGATTTTATTCAATTCTAGAATATAATCTCTTGTTTGTGACGAAAGCGTATATGACATTACCTGCCTTGTAAAGAGTAAATATCTAAAATATGGTAATGGAGAGGTAATCTAAAATGAGAAAAATGCTTTGTAAAAGGCTGTGTAACCTATGGCGGGAAGTATCTAAAATTTATGTAAAAGCCAAAATGTTGCGTGCTCACCCTCAAGTGTCTTCAAACTTTGTCGACTTTCAGAATCCTTAGAAACATAAGCTTTTTTCGGGGAACTTTATCCTACACTTAGAAAAATATATCTTAAAATAATATTTAAAGCAGATCAATCATAGGTACTTTGTGTAAAGACAGTAAAAGAAAAGTACTGTATATTTATTAACAAATTTTAAAACAAAGTTAATGTAAAATATGTACTCATTAACAACATTAATTCTTGCTCCGTGTGTCACCTACCCGTATATTATATTTAGTGACAGGAGTGTGCTTGCCGTTTTTTACATAAACTGTGGAAGTCTAGCTCTATTGATGTTATCTACTGTCGTAATCATATTCTGCATTTAATTTGGTTATATATATATATATATATATATTTTGTTGCCACATACATTGAGAAAACGTTTCACTGAAATACGTTGTTCCAAATGGCATTAAAATGTTTATAGTTGTGTGAGAAACTTCTAGCTACTTTGCAAATTTGCAATCAAAAATTTAAGAACGGCCTTTGGCTTAAATTTAGATTTTTATGTTGAATCTGTTGATATGTCAATAGATTGTTCCCTATTCTTCACCGGCGAACTTTCTTATTTGTCATAGTACTCGAACGGATTTTTTTATCCAATTATGTTAAATTTTCTCTTCTGGGAAATATTCTCTTACAGTTTTTCTTTTCAACTGAAAATGTTCCATTATATAGTTTTAAAAACATTTGTTTAAACGTAATTCATTTTCCATTAGAAAATTCTTTAATTTTGCAAACCATTGCACGTCATTCCCTTTAACATACGTAATGGCAAATTTTTATTTTCATTTTTGAAGCAACAGAGTTTGAATCACAGAACCTTGCGGTTCTTCGAAACTCAGTTTGAAGACCATTACTCTGTAGAGTTATTAGGTATTTTTTGGAAACAGGAGATGTGAAAAATGAGCAACGCCTTCGCCCAGAATCGAAACATGTACCTCTGGAATACGCACCCAGCGTGCAGACCACTACACCAGGAAGGTACGCTAAGAAGGCGGGAGAAATACCTTATATACTTCCCCCTTTAAACGGCGACTGGGGTTTAGGGGACTCAGTCGCCAAATCCTGGGTGTGGAGAATCATCATCGACCACCTTTTAGTTCGGGCGCCACTGTAGAGTCATTAGGTATTTTTTGGAAGCAGGAGATGTGAAAAATGAGCAACACCTTCGCTTGGAATTGAACGACGGACCTCTGGAATACGCGCCCAGCGTGCAGACTACTACACCTCGAAGGTGCGCTAAGAAGTCAGGTGAAATACCCTATAACCCTACTTAACCAAAACTGATCCTTAGAAGAAATTATTAGTATTCAGTAGGCTTAACCGTTCTTCTTTACTATGTGAATCGATTTTCCTGTTTTCGATTTTTAATTTCTAGCAAGACAGCCTATTTAATCGAAAGGTTTTGCAGTTGTTGAAAACCTACCTTTAAAAGTAAAGACAATAATAGATAAAGTCACATACTAGCTTTAAAAAAAAAGAAAAAATAGCGTGACTTCTTTCGGTAAAATTTCACTTTATCACAGAAATGTATTTAATAAAAGATGAATTATTCTGAACTTTTGTTGAAATCAAATTGTAGTGCATCTTCATAATGTAAATTATTTTACTGAGGAAACCATATAATTATTCAAATATAGATAAAAGAATTACCTTATGAGATTCCATGATTTCTTTTCCTTCATCTGAGTTTGATATATTATTTGCTTCCGCACGTGCTGCAGGACATTCCCTGTCTATTCCTAAATACTGAAACAGAAACCTCCTGATTAGAATAATATTCAATATATTACGAACCTGTAACGTACGCAGCAAGTATCTGCAAATGTATTATATCTTGGATAAGTACACCTCAAAACTTCATTGAAAATCAGCCATTGTGAATAAATTTGCGTGAATAAATAAAAATACCAGCATTGTACCAAATATTTCATTAAATAAGTTGCATTAGAAAAGTAAAGCAGCTTACCTTATCGTTTCCTATACTTTCGTACTTCACAGGTATTGGCTGCCATGGGAAATCTGGGACAAACTGCCAATTTTCATCTGGAGCGTAGAGCGCGGCCATGTGACACAGCGCACTCAGAATGCACCTGTTTCTTTTAGCGCTTAATACTCTCACCTACAAAAAAAGAAAAATACTAAATCCATAAAAAATATATATACAAAAAATATGCTTTATCAAATGAAATTTGTATATTAACTGGCTGCATTAGTAAACTTACTTTGTCGCAATTTCTGTGAAACCCATCATAGCGACAGCTAACCCATCCCAGAAAATATCCAATATCTTCGAAATTGCAAATATTCGCATTGAGTATCACCAGTAATCACAAACTCTAAAGCAACTACCACCGAAGAAGACCAAAATGATGAGTGATTGCTTTACTGTGGTTTTCATTATCAGAATGAATGGAATGAATCAAGATATAACCAACTTGTTCTCACAAATCCCTTTGCTCTGAATCAGATCAAATCCTTAAGTACACCCGCCTTCATAACTACCAACACGAAATTAAGTCTTTTCAGCGGATCTTCACGCAGCAAGGCAACACAACAAGTAGATGTTGCGCAGTAGCTTCATGGTTTTTTTACATTTGGTGCAAGTTGGAAGTATTTTAGTACCACGGGAATATCTGAGGGGAGGGTACTTAAACGTCCTGAAGCCAACCGAGAAAGAGACGTTTGGTCCTTACCTGTCACTCTTGAAACCAACGGCAGTACCAGTACCTGCACTACTATACCATGAGTATCTGAGTAGCTGTCTCCAAGAATTGTTAATTAAAAGCTTTCTTCTCGAGGACAGTTCAAAGAAGGTCAAAGGTTCAGCATAAACCTCAGACATGGAAGTACCCTGCTTTGCTAGTCATATTATTACGCTTTAGATTTTATATTATTACGCTTTAGATTTACTTTAGATTTACAGATGGTATCCATTGTAGATGGAGGACAGAAGTAAAGGACAAGATCTTGAGTGTTCCAATAACTTTAACTCTTCTCAGGTCTCTAATATTTCTCCAATTATTTAAGTATTTGATTCATCTTCGGCTGTCCATAAGGATACAAGTTTCCCCGGATAAATGTCACTCTAAAACACAGTCCAAAGACATACCAATAGCCATCATTTCAGAGCTGAAAACGGATCAGAAATCGGTATTTCTACGTTTCAGAGATATTTCTTCCCCGCCAAATTAACAAAAGCCCCGCTACTAATGTGTCTATGTTCATTCTTATTGCCATTTGTGTATATCAGAACTTCCTCAAATTAATCACTTCCACAGCAGCCTGTCTAAAAATATTCAGTATATTGAGAGTATTTATTAGTTAATAACTCTAAATGAAGCCATTGTTAAACAATTAAACCCTTTGATCGTATGTCGTATGTCTGAGATAAATAAAGGAAGCTTTTTTAATTCAAATAATGGAGCAGTAAGGATTTCCGTGCACGTCTCGAAATAGAATATTCATGCCTCAATAATTCATATCACGTTATTGTGAACTTTTTAAAATGAAATTTCACTAGAACAAAAGGAGACATTTATGATACAGATTGATAATATTTTACAGATAAAATTATTGATTTCTTAACACTTTCTCACCCTATTTCTTAACAAAACTTAAATCAATTTTATTCGTTTCATTCCGGCATTTTAGAGCCTTTAAGATGCACTTTTAGACAAATATTGCTGATATTTTATCCCTATACCTTTAAAATCCGATGACTTTGGAAAAATCCAAAAATGCATATACTTAAAAGCAACTTTTAGCATGATTGTTTGGTACGGCCAAGAATTTTTCTCATTTATTAGAATTCTTATTGTAACACAAACAGCTGAAATTTCCTGGAAGCACCTGAAATTCTTGTCAATTTTTAAGATATACTTTTAATTTTTAGTACCCAATAGTTTAAAAGTAGTTTTTTTAATCATATTTTGTAGTAAATGTTGGATTACAGACAGGTAATGTAAGTTCAGATTTTATTTCATTGTAAACTTACAAATTATTTCATGCAGAAGATATGTAAGATCTAGTGATCTTATTATTATTTTAAATCTGTGTTTGGTGTCTGACCATGAGGCCTATTAGCCGATTACTATCAACCCGGATGGTTGCAGCACACTCGCATATTACATTAAATTAGATTTACATCTTTTGAATTCCATTATAAAAGGAGCAAGCTATGAACATCTTGTATTAGTCAAAGGAAAGTAATGGTATAGACGAATGAATCCATAATACATTTAATTGTGGAATATCTTTATAAAAAGTCTGCAATTCTTATTCAAAGAAACCTTTATTTACTCTACTGCCACACTATTACTATTAACTCATAAGTATGAATAAATGCCTTAAAAGAACTATGAGTGAATGCACTAAAACCCGAAGAAGAAATTTTGAACATATATACTTAATTTTAAGTAACCCGAAGGTAGCAAATATTGCAGTGGGCATAATGGAATCTCGTGTACCACGAACCTTGAAAAACTGAAAACTCGACTGATTCGAAATCTCGAAAAGATTGAAAAACTTGAAACTTTGAGCTTAACAGATATTCGAATCTTAATTTAAGAAATCATTAAATACTTTAACTGAGAAAAAATTACTTCATCGGCATCCAATAGAAGTGTTCATTTTATCGAGTTTGATCTAAAGAGCATATACTAGACCATAACTCTGAAAGACAAGAGACGAATTCTCGCTATGTCTTGTAAGTACCACAGAGACAGGAAAAAGGCGTAAAGAACACTTATATTAATTCAAATAACGTTTAATAGATAGCACCAACTAATGCTTACAGTAGAAGCCAACACTTTTGGCTTTAAGTAAAAGATAATGGATAGACTAAAGTTAATGATATCTAAGTTTAGACTAACATCTTAACAGTTTAACTAGCGCGCAAGTTGGCTCTGACCGAAGTCGGCGTAAACAATCCTAATGCCAAGAGTAACTCAACGCCGCAGAATTATAATCGTCAGAAGATCAAAGTTAGCAACATGGCCTTCAAGCTCTAATTTGCTCTAATGCTCATGCTAATAATATGCTCTAATTTTACCTTCCGGAACCTTCTTTTAAATACTTCCTTCTTTTACCTATTATGAACTTTGCGCGAGCTAGAAAATTTCCATTCTGGCAGGGAAATGAAACGAGGCTTAATAAGGAAGGGAATTAACATAAAATAACAGGTTATAAAACTAAAATAATTCTTACAATCCAGGAAAAAAGTTAAAAAGTAATGAAATAAAAACGTTATTGTTGTGTTGTGACCTATCTCGCTTGTCTACATCGCAGCAACATCAGCATAAGCACACGAAATTCATCGTGGTAAGGACTTCAAGATTGCGGTTGTCGTTGGAGCACCATAAGGGTAACAGTATGACTTTACTCTATTTCACTCCAAATTTAGATGGAGAGAACCACCCGGGGAGACGGATCCGACCCTATCACAAGCCCCTCGAGAGGACTTTCGACTAGCCGTTATTTAGAATGCTACCATACAGCACATTACCATATTTGCAAATATCCATGCCTTTTCGAGGATTTACACCCGGGCCTTGTAGTACGGCAACCTGAGTTGCTAATCACTGTCCCGGTTGAAAGGCAAAGAAATAAAAATAAAGGCATTTGTTACAATTTTAGTGGCTTTGGACTAATATCAGTATCACCTTTTATCGGCCGTAAGTGGTATATTGGTTAATTATCCGGAGAAAATTTAGCGTTCCACGTTTAGTGTTTTATCTGTGTTAACCTTTAGAATAATTTTCTCCTCTTTAGGCCTTCTTTGATTTAAAATGGTACTCAAAAATCGAAAATTTAATTAAATCTATTAAAGTTATCATTGAAGAAAAGATGATTTTTTATGAAAAATTTATTAGATCTGGAAATCGTTAGTGGATAAATTACCCCCCCCCCGAAAAAAATGTGGAACTTAAAAACACAAAGCAGTTTTTTCTGTTAAGTGTTCCTGGGGTGTCAGACGAAATTTTGTGGTTCCAGATAATATTCTAGGGTTTACAAAGCTCTCAAACCACATGATATTATACAGATTGATTCAAAGTTATGCTTATCTCACGAACCACATTTTAAGAGAATGAATTTTACATGTGTTTGGAATACGATTCACATGATGTGTCCAAAATGAATGTTTTCCTGTTCTCACGGATGACTCCTTTTGATGATGATAATGATTACTGCAGGCTCGGGAATCTTTTCGAGCATATTTTTCCTCAATTCTTTGGCAGCAAAATTTGGAACAGCTTTTGATGGAGAAGTGGATGCTGTTCGAACTGCTCTGAAATATTTGTTGGTTTTTGAGGATAGATTTGTTACAGTAGTCATTTTTCCTGATTTTCAGACTGCAGTGTAGGCTATTAGTTCTTCGAGCTGCCCTCATCGGAGGAAATTTCACAATGACGGCATCATTTACGGCAGTTTTAAAAATGAAACTTGTAGTCTTTCAGTAGTAACAGTAGTACTTCAGTAGATACTGGCCACCGTAGCATTTTTGGGAATGAGCAGGCTGACTGCCATGCATAAAACAGCTCGAGATTAATACAAACGGAATTTTCGACATCATCTTTCCATTCTATGAGGCTTTATATCAAGCAAATAATGGAAAAAACATAAATTGCAAATTTAGGATACCATAAAGTTAAAGCGGGGGAGAACTGAAGATAGCAATCCCTAGCAGTCCACGGCGGGAAGTTGTTGCCAGTTCCGGCTCCTGACTGGACATGACTGCTTGGCAGAGCACCTCCATCGCATTGGAACCTGTTCGAACCCTAGCCGAAGAATATGAGACTTTCTTTGCCCTAGGTGCCCTATCTGTAATTCGACAGATGCAACGAATAGAGATTACCTCCATCGATGTGCCTGACTTCGCGACGACTCTGAAACGGCATTTTACAGGCGTTGTAGAGAACCTCTGAGGCTATGACGTCGGTCACTTTTATGTAAGCGTTTTATTATTTGTTTGTACTTTTGTGTTTGCCTTGTCATGGGAAAATTAAAAAAAAAAAAAAAAAAAAAAAACACTAAGACACCTGAACCTTCAAGATCTTAAATTTCACACTTAATTTACTAAATTTAATTTATATCTTCTTAATAAATATATAAGTATGCATTTATTATTATTATTAATATTTACGTGTTCTGTCCTAAGGCAGTACACGGAAGGTAGAGGTGCCTTCGTAGAGGACTTTCTAAGGAAAACTGACTCGTATTAACACGCTACAATTGAGGAAAACCACGAAAATGCCAATGCAGCCAGCCCGTTCACGGGATTCGAACCATCAGAACCGAATTACCACTGTTCAGGGATTTTACAGCTCGGCTGCTGGTGGGTTCTAAGTGTGCATTTAAAAATAAAATTCTTAAAGTTTTTCACAATTAAACGAAAATTTAAAATTTTGCTTTCATTAAAGACTTTTACCATTTTTTTTCTTATTCTTACATTTATAAGAAAAATTCGAGAATTTTTTTGGATTCGAATTCAGATTCTAGAAAATCTGGGATTCGTTTCATCTTTAGGCTATATAACTACATAATTCCTTATAAACAAATAAGAGAAACAAATAGATGGATTTGTCAAATTAACAGATAAATGAACAGTAAAATCATAAAGTTTGCAAAATGAATTTTAGCGCTTTTTAACTACCTTTTTTGCATATTTGTCTGAAAAACTTAATCTAAAAAATAGAGAAGTACGTCGTCGAGTGGATTACATCACTTGAATTTTTATTTTGACAAAATTTCAACACAGCTGGTCAAAATACAGATTAAAATACAATTTGCTTTATAACTGTATACCGTATTTTACGAACTATAAAACACACCTTAATTTTTAAGCAATTGTTTTAAAAAGTAACATTTTTACCTTTTTTTATTATTAGATTGCAAAGCCAGACTAAAAAGTTTTAGTTTACAAAAACCTAACTGACATTTAAAATTCTTGAAAATCGACATCTGAGCTTTCTACTTCTTTCTTTTCATCGTTATCGCCTTCACTACCATATAAGATGTCATATACGGTATCAGATAAGATGGTCTTCGCTGCAATCGAGAGCGTTACCTATGCTGCACTTCTTGAGAGATTTAATAATAATATTTTCTCCTCTAGACCGCGACTGTTTTATTCACAGACACACTTGTTTAATTGTAGGTCGAGTTAAAGCTTCCGAAGGGAGCTTTAACTTCGGCGGGAATTCACGCTGGGTTTCATCCATGCATGCTGGATTCTCATTTGTTATATCAGTTTCGAGTATGAGACGCGCCTGAATTTCGGAGTCAATTTTTCGAAGAAAGAAGTAGTCCGTAAAATACGTTATATGGCAAAAGAAAAATTGTATACGCGTAAAATTGCTTTCATTGATTTCAGCTGCCGTCGTTTCCTTTCAGTTATTACATGTTGGTTACAAAATGCCGGAAAGTGTATATAAAACAGCAATTTCAAATTATGTTACCTCTTGTGGATTAGATGTTATGAAGTCCTTATACATCAACCTCAGCTGACGTCCAAGTGCATAATTCTGGTATTTTCCAAGCTAAGGGAAAAAATATGAAAACATTGAATGACAGAAAATTAATTTTCAGCCTTTACGGGCGGCTGTCATACATACTGTTACGTAGAAAAAATTAATATTACTTTTAACTTTTAAACTACCTGACTTTCTCGGTGCCGCGACAAAAAAACTACACTACTCTTTAACATAAAAACTTCATGTCTGAACTCTTTAAGTTTTTGGTGATTATAACACCTACCTAAGTTCAACAAACAACAACTCAGAAAAATAAGGTTCATCATATCAACTCTCAACTCTTTAAATCAAAGAATGAAAAGAAAATATCCTTCCTGGTGTTTTGGCAGAATCAAAGATTATTTATCAAAACAAAATGTAAGAACTCATTTTCCTAACAAATTCGTCAGTCTGCTATCAGTCACTAAAATAAAACAATATCTGCTCTCCTTCCTGAACACTTCTAAATTTCGATACATTTCTAGAGATAGCCCTAAAACAATTTACATAAGGATCACATGGATGACCTACATTTGACGACAAAATAAAACATACAATATTTAAAATATTACACATTTATTTAATATTCCAGACATTATAATATAAGATAGCTGACCAGACTACCCCTACAAAACATTATCTAAACTTTTTCTCATAATTTCTCCTTTGATCGCATATCTCTCATAAAGTGTATGAATACTACAAATCATTAATTAATAATTCACATTTAGAATATGGAACAATTTATCTTCAGACATTTAGTCATCAATTAAATTACTTGATATAATACTATACATTACTTCAGTGAAAATTTCTTTTCAGAAACATTTAATTTTCCCTCTGATTAATTTAATTATAACTCATCTCATTTAAACATTTTTTAATTCACATTCACAAATTAAAAATTAAACAACTAGAAACAAACAAAACGAGAGAGAAATATATGCATCACTCACGGAAGCAGCATACACAGCAATCTGTGAGACTCGGGAAGCTACAGAACAGTTTTCCTCAATAAATCGAAACAACATTTTCATCAGTAATCAAGATAGGAAGCCGCATACACAACAATCTGTGAAACTCGGGAAGCTATCGGATAATTTTCTTTAACACATCGAAACAACGTTTTGATCAGTAATCAAGATAGGAAACCGCATACACAACAATCTGTGGACTCGGAAAGCTATCAGACAATTTTCTTTAACGTATCGAAACAAGGTTTTCAACAGCAATCAAGATAGGAAGCCGCATACACAACTATCTGTGAGACTCGGGAAGCTATGGGACAATTTTCTTTAACGCATCGAGACAACGTTTTTAACAGAAATCAAGATAGGAAGCCGCATACATAACAATCTGTGAGACTCGAGAAGCTATCGGACAATTTTCTTTAACGCATCCAAACAACGTTTTCAACAGCAATTAAGATAGGAAGCCGCATACACAACAATCTATGAGACTCGGGAAGCTATCGAACAATTTTCTTTAATACATCGAAAACAACATTTTGATTAGTAATCGAGATAGGAAACCGCATACACAACAATCTGTGGACTCGGGAAGCTATCAGACAATTTTCTTTAACGCATCCAAACAACGTTTTCAACAGCAATTAAGATAGGAAGCCGCATACACAACAATCTGTGAGACTCGAGAAGCTATCGAAAAATTTTCTTTAATACATCGAAACAACATTTTGATTAGTAATCAAGATAGGAAACCGCATACACAACAATCTGTGGACTCGAGAAGCTATCGGACAATTTTCGTTAATGCATCGAGACAGTGTTTTCATCAGTAACCAAGATAGGAAGCCGCATGAGCAACAGTCTGTTAGACTCGGAAGCTACCGAACAGTTTTCTTTAATGCATCGAAACAGTGCTTTCATCAGTATTCCGGATCTGAAGCCGCGTGAGCATCTTCCACAAAGTACAAAATCTCCGAGACAAGGCAATTAAATTTTTTTAGAAGGAAAACAAGTCCGAGTAACGGGAAATGACTCGCCGGACAGCATTACAAGAATGTTATTCAAGAGTTTCGAGAAAAAAGGGGGGACAGAATTTTGGTTAAAATATTTCAGATGTTGTCTCTTTCTGTAGTCATTTAAAACTCTGATTTTGAAGTGGACATCGAAGTCTGTAGTAAATCGCATTTGCTTTACTTAAAATGCAGATTATCTAGTGCTGCTTTTACTAGTGAATATGGCTCATGCAAAAAGAAACAGCGCAATGCTAGTTTCAAATTCAAAGTCATTCAGTTCTCGAAAGAAAATAGAAATCGTGATGCAGCAAGGATGTTTGGTGTTCGTGAAAGATGGAAAGGATGATGATTATTTATGGATCATTGAAACAATGATGGTGAAGATAAAGCAGGATTCTCCGATGTGCTTCAAAGTATAACGGAAGTCGAGGATGACGAACCTTTCATGTTATCCGATAATAAACGTTTTTAAGTTCATAAGGTATGTCATTTTTTTTTAAATAAACAGCATTTAGATGCAGGTAAAAATCTAATTTTTGTCAGCTGATTTTTTCCTTATTTTTAAATCCGGCGTATAACGCGCACCCGTAAATTTCGACCTTATTTTTTGTATATAAAGTGCGCATTATACCCGGAATTCGAACATCTAAGTATCCAGAATTTCAAAATCTAGAAGTCAGTCAATCAGTTAAACATATACAAGTAGAATAATTGACCAAGAAACTAAAGACTATACAAAGTACACAAACGTAAAATTACTACAAAAATATGATAAATAAACAGAAATAAGTCCGAAATAACACTAAACAGAGAAATACTGTACGAAAAAAAATTCTAACAAAAATATTTAAGGTATCCGACCACGTTCGGAGCACTTTTTTTCAAAAAAGCAATATAGGTACATTATAAACACATTTTTTTCATTTATTATCTACAGAGATTAATTATGGAATATCAAAATTTAATATATTCTATTATTATCCTGCAAAAAATATTAAATGGACGTGAAATTTTAAGCAAATTTTAAAACAATTTGAAACATTCTATATGAAAAAATATTGAAGTTATATTAAAAAGAGTCATATAATAATAAACTACATGCTTTTATCTAGGGAATGACATAGGATTTTAAAGACATCTCATATAGTAAAAAAATTTCAGAATTTTGAAAATTTTTATGAGATTTTCAATATATTCACGGTGTCATTATTTAAATAACAGGCCACAATTTCAAAAATGTTTAATATATAAATATTCTGGTATGTCGTTCCCTAGATAACTATATATAGATTAAGCATACAAAAGTTTCATAAAAATTAGTAATAATATTTGATTTATCGTGCACCAAGTGAACCAGTTTTTTAGAAAAATAGATTTTGAGAAAATGCATTTAAAGTTTAATGCTTTATTTCTATTATTAATCTTACCCAATACCTAAAACTCCCCAATCTATAGCTTATACCTTCCGTTTGTTCAACTTTATCTGTTTTTCCGTTTATATTCAGCCTATTTGTTTTTTGTGCCAATTTTTACTCGGGTAGTGAGTGATATTTTTGATTTCCTTAATCGCTCCATGTCGAGCTTACTAAATCTCTCCACTGTATATTCGCCATGTTGCATACCTATATAATTTAAAATATCTAGTAAGCCTAAAAGCCCTCTGTTAAAGTGTATAACAGCTATATATGCCCCGAATTTAAGAGTTTGTAATTCCACAATGGCAACCATCGGTATAAATTTCCAAAAAATGTAATTAAAATTTTGCTTGCATTTCATGTCTTTTTTTATACGCACTTCTAAAAGAGCTTCTGCTCACATAGTTTTATATACACTCTGAAGAATATTAATTACATTCTTTGGCCCAGTCCTTTGGATTTGTTTGTGTGCACTCTTCTAACTGATACAGCTCGCTGATATTTACAAAAAATGTCTGGTCCATTTGGGCACTGACCATGTATAAGTAGCTTTGCACGAGAGAAAGTGTGAAAAAAATGGAGCAGTTACAAGCACTTTTCCATTCATTGTTCCTGATTTTATTCCATTTAAAGTTGTCATAAAGACATCATTTGAGCCGTTTACCCCTCCATCAGATATTTTTGTTTTCCCTTCTTTCTACTCTGGAACGGCTTCTGAATATGACTTACGCATTCATATTTAGTGACACTACTTAATATAAATATTTTTCCCAAATCACTTTCAAAAAGTTCTCCTGCCGATGAGAAACATTTTATTTTAGTTCACTCGATGGAAAATTGCTTTATTAATAGTATTCTCTTTTCCTTCACAACAACGTTTCATAAATTTCTTCCTTATGCATGTCGTTTACAAACACACGACTGATTTTTTTGACCCTCTATTATGCTTTAAGTAGATTTTTTAAAAATAATCAAGACTAATAAATCTAATTGCATATGCAAGTGTCGAATCAATCAACTCATATGTTAGCGAGACCATAACGCTTTCTACAGGTAATTAATAAAAATATTGCATTTATTGGAATAATTTCATGTGGGCGTTTGGGCGTTTCGGCTTCCCCCTTTTCCGAGTAACTCAATCTCACTACGGGTCGACTCTACCTTTGGGCACGTCGTGGAGTTCAACCTCACTATTACCCTCCAGTAGAGCCGCGCACCACCTGGATATGACACCAGGGCATCACCGGTTGTCTAATGCTCCTGCCAGTCGCGCTCGGCGAGCCCTTCGCAGGGACATTACCCAGCGACCCCGGGGGAAAACCCCACGGGTTCTAGCACCACTCCGCGCTAGGACGTGCCAGACTCCGAGGCCGGCCAATAGTGACCTTTCCCAGAGCCTTCAGAACCACCAAGTTCATAATTTTATACCCCCGTGGCCGTGTACTGCCTAGGTACAGATCCTAGCCAGTAGCTTCGCAGAGTTCTCTACGTCGACCCCCGGGGGGGGGGAATAATTTCATGTTGCTGAACAGACTACAGATAAGATTCTATAAATTCCCTCTCTTTAAAAGTCTTTACATGACATTTCAAAGACAGCAAATTATTTATGTCCATTTCTAGCTCTTTTCAACCCTTTGAATGACACTTTCGGTGATTTAAATGCCCATTTCCGGTTTTTGCGTCTTTACAAAATCCTTAATATCTTGGTTTCTAATTAACGTATAAACAAAAGCATACCAGTTTTGGAAAGCTAAATAAACAGTCTATCCAATGAACGAATAAAAGAAAATTGCCATTTTTTTTTTGCCAAAATTGGCCTTTTCAACGTGTTTGGATACCTTAAATAAATTACAGCGAAAGGCTGAATGTACTTAATATAAATCAGGCATAATACAAACATCGGTGTAGATTGGTGCGCAACAACTGCTTTTCCATTTGCAATTAATTTTCATAAGTTGACAGACTTTCTTTTGCTTTATTTTATTTCAATTTTTTTACCCTTTATGTGGCACATCTATTTTAAATCTTTGAATTTTATGATATATTTAATGCAATATTTAATATTTAAATAAAATTTAAAGATTTATATTTAATGGTACATTTGTTTAAAATCTAATTTGCATAGTGATTTATTTATATAAAATTAACGATTTTAACAAATTCCATTTTTTAATGGGAATCACACTATGTAAAGGAAATTAACAAGTGTAAGCAATATTCTGTGGATCTTGTTTTTTTAGATTGGATACCAGAAGATTGAATCCTCTGAATGCTTATTTTTTTAAAAAGCGGATTTTTTCTTTGATAGATAAATGCATTATTCCGAAGAATTAATAATTATTCTCATGACGGTTTTCTAAAGAAACATAAGTTTAAAGAGTTATAGATGTTAAATGCACATTTAAACAAGGAAAGGGTATATACAACTTTTTCAGCGAGTTTCAAGGATATTTTCACAATAAAAATAAGCATTCAAGACTTTCGCGTTTTCTGTAAAAACGCAAAATTAACAATTTTCCACGGGGAAACTGATTTGATAAACATTTGTGTAATATTAATCCGATATAAAAAAAAATGAAAAACGTTTCTGTGCGAATATTTTTAATTATCTTGTAAGGTTTACTTTATTTTTCTAGCAGTTATTTTTATTTTGGAACTAGCCTTTTCTTTATCTTCTCATATCCACCTATGTTTTCGTGCCAGAACGAATTTTCAGCATTTCGATTTATGTAAATGAGGTAGAAACGATAAGATATATAGTAAGTAGAGATATTTAAGCTGAAATATGTAGAAAAGCGTAGGGATAGATTGTTCTGACTTTCGGTCATGTTGTTGCTGCTAGTTTAATCTTGGTGTTATACGGCCGTACTGCTAGTATACGCCGGTGTCCTTAAATAAAGGACAAACTGGTTAGTTATTTCTGCGCAGCTTCGGCTTGTTTATTTCAGCTAACATTAAATTAGTTTTACACTTTCTAGCTTAAGTTAAAGCCCAAATGGAAGCTTCCTGTAAGCCCAAGAAGGGGCCATTTGTTCAGTTATTTTGAATTTGGAATAAAGGGTAATTTAAGTCGTCTTCTTATTTACAAAATCTCAGCGAAAAGCCGCTACACTGTCCTTCAATATTCTAGCTCTTAGGGAACTCAATTTTAGCTAGGCTATTACAATCTGATAACGCAAATTAAAATTTATGTGTATAATAGTCTTAAAGTTATTTTTCTATGCTGCGTTTTAGTTAAGATAAGGAAACACAGAAGTCTGCTATTACTCAGCCTTGTTAGTCCGAGAATCACACTTCCAATTTTTCTGCAGACAAATTTATTTAAAAAAACATCTTCCGTTGGTGAATTAGATTTTCTAGAGGTGTTTCACATTAAAAAAAAATCTGTCTGTTCTAGTTAACGACCCTAATTCCAATTCATCTTTGTCTTGAGCCTTTAAGGAAAGTATGCTTTAGTTCTCGTTTCATCAACAGATGGCGCCAGTAGCTTAACTCTTGTTCAGTCTTTTTTATCTTATCTTATCTGATCATATATCTTATCTTGCTCATGTGCGCCTTTGCAGTTGAGGATGATGGTTCGGTAGAACCATCGAAACTAGTTCTGTGAAAATTTGAAAAAAATAACCCTGATTTTTGTTGTTTGACTTCTAAATTAAGATTTATTTAATTAATTAAATTTTAGTTTTTTAAAGGAAATCCATGAATTTACCTTTGTGAGTCGACCAAGTCCTTCTTTCCATATATTTGCGGGATTTGGATCCTTAGGATACAAAAAATCAGGAGCACGCATTCCGTGCCTAAAGAACTTGAAGGAAAAGTGAACAAATAAAAACACTGTTAGTTTTCGTGAGAGAGAATACATTTTCTTCATTCTTGAAATATTTATTTAGCAAATAAAAATTCGGCAAATTACTGAAACCGAAATTAGAAAAAACTAATCAGTTAAATAAGTAATGATTTACAAATACGTAAAAATGAATAAATATACAAATATAAAAGACTTTGAAATAAACGATATATACTATGTGCAATCATCTAGCTTCTCTATTTCTTTTTCCCAAGCTTTGGTTAGTATATAGCTAATTCATTTTGTATCTGTTAGTTATCTACATATTTTGTAGCAGTTTCAAAGAAGCGAATTCTAGTTTTACAAGTGCTTTCATTGCATTTTTTTACTTCCTTGTACGAAATAAACGAAATATTATAATCGCGAAAAATTTCGGTTATCATATTTCAACAAAAATATTCATTTTGATCTTTCTTAAATCCATTTGAGAGATGTTGTTGCATGACATCTGCACGTCCGAACATGATAAAGGACTTTTTCCCCAAAAAACTAATTGCAAAATGGATTTAAAATGGATTCAGATGAGATTTTGCAGTGGCGTCTGTAAGTATATATGTGTATCTCGCATAACTCAACGAGTAGCCTCAGAACTTGAAATTTTGTTATATTTATAGTTGTGAAGCTCTCTTTTTGATTGCAATCGCTCGCACGAACACGAATATATATATATACTCTCTTACCTGACTCGGTGAGATAATTCATTTTATTCTTATATGTTGGGAAATTGTGCAATTGTATAAACTATCCCGAAGCGGAGCTTTCTTTAGAACACATTCTCACCTGTCCGGCAATACTTGCAGCTCTGCAAAGCTTGGGGAAATTTCCTTTCCAGGGAGAGCTGTATAGTGAAATGATTGTGGAACTGGAAAAAGCTGTGATTTCCATCCATGGATCCATTTGATTTCTCAAAGGGCACGACGCCTACCAACCGACAGTGCAATTTTGCTTTAAAATAATTGAATTATGTAGTTTGGTTAAGGTTAACCCCTTACGATGTTTACGCCATAAGTTAATCTGCATGCAATAGTTACAGAATTATCAACAATTTAAAAGTTTAAGTGGCGAGTTAAGCCTAACGAATCGCTATTTGTTTAAATTTCAAACTCAGTACCATAGTGAATTAAGTCAGTTTCTTCATCTTTAAAGTCTTTTTGGCGAGTGGGACCAAAAGAAAACTTTAAGTTTTGTTCACCGAAAAATCTGCCTTTTAGCCCGCTGGCCGAACTGCTTGTTTTACGTAGAAACTGTAATTTAAAAAAGTTTTTTAACTGTTTTATTTGTATTTGGTATTTTATGTTTTTCTGCATTTTGCAATTTTTAATGAAGATGTTTTGAGCTTTTATGCATTTTTGCCTTGCCGCGAAGTGCGAACTGAATTAATTGAATGAAAAATATATATCTAATGAATTTGGGAAGAAATAAGTGCAAATGAAATGCAGCAAAAAATGTGTATAATTTAATACGTAGTACAAGGAAGTCAAATGTTGTTCACATAGATTTTTTTTTTAAATGTTAAGAAACAATTTAGAGGCTGGTGAATTGGTTTAGCGAAACACTTGAAAATTATCTGTCTGGAAGGAGGGATGTCTTTATGGATGAATTTCTAAAGGTAATTCGCTCACTATTTTATAACTCATGTCGAAAATCAAGAAATCCTATGGATTACCCATTCACGAGAATCTGAAGATGAGCAAACTACCAGTGTTCAGAGGTCATATTCCCTCGACAGAAATTGGCAAGAGTTGTTTAAGAAATGGTTTTAAATATAATTGGAAAAATTTAATTCACTTTGTAAGGATTTTAGGTTTTACTAACGTTTATTTTATTTTAAAACTTTACTGTCCTCTCTCATTTCCCACTTCCGGCCAGAATAAATGCGGTTAGTTTTACTTATGCAAATTGAGCTTGCAAACTGTTAAGTATTTAAGTTGTGACTTTACCCAAGTGCGAGTTATAGAAAGAGAGCCTTCTCGCTACCTTACCTCACGCACGCATTTCAGTTAGTTGCTGTCCGCCTTTAAGGCCAGACTTTAGTTGTCTTGATACTGAAGACGTATTGTAGTTTTCCCGCATTCTGCCTACTACATACGTAAAGATAAAAAAGTAACTAGTTTCAGTAACTAGTTTACGTTTCAGACCATAAGTACTGGTCTTTGTATCCCGAAGCGCGGGAACGTGTGTGAAGAATAAAGATAATTAAACCCTTCCTACTTGTGCCGTTTGCAGGAACATAGTTTCTACATTTTCAGGAATATAGTTTTAAATAAACTTCCTGTTCTTACTCAAGACTCTAGTTATGTTTGAAAAGGCAATAAGAAGAAATAGTAGTCCTGATAACTTTTCTGAAAATTGAATTAGAACAAGAACGGTTACTAAAGATGAAATGTGCAATAACATTTTAGCGCCGGTTAAAAATAGAGAAAAGGAACTTCAATGGCACCACCCCAAGACTGAGAATTTGCAAAAACATTGCGTCAGGAAAATTATTTTGAAGCTTTGACCTGCATTTATTTTTGAGAAAAACTGAATTAAGAACTCTAAATAATGATTTTTACTTCTCTTAAGAAGTATGAACCCTCTTTTTTCAGGCAATAAAAAAATTCGAAAAACCTACCTGGAAAATGTATGTCAGTAAAAAAGGACGAAAAATTGCAAAGTCGCAGCTCAGGCAAGGATTTAATGATTTTCAAAGAAATCTGAAATCTGTCTCATACAAAAATAAGAGAAGTTTCCAGTTCTACAAAAGAAGAGTCTTGCGTGGAACAAGGATCACTTGCTCGACTTAAACTGAATGGCCAAGGCTGATCTGATCCCAGTCCTATATTAAAATATCAAGCGAAAAATCTTTCACTAACAGAATGGAAGAATAATATAAAACTGCACGGAGGAAGAAGTTAAAAGTTCCAGCCACTATACGAGTGCAATTGCAATGCATGTCAGTAGAAAAGAACGAAAAACTACAAAGTCCTAATTCAGCCAAGGAGTTTGTGATTTTCAAAGAAATGTAAAATCTGCCTCATACAAAAATAAAATCTTCCAGTTCAATGGAAGGAACGTCTTGCGTAGATCAATGCACTTGTCCGACTTAAAGTGAATAGCCAATAGAGGATTTGGTCCTAGTCCTATATGAGAATGTCAAATGCAAAATCTTTTGCCAATAGAATGGAAGTATGATACAAATCCGCTTGCAGCAAGAAGGTAATGTTCCAGCCATTATACAAGTGCAATCCTATTCCGGTTTACTCTATATCATCTTCTTAGTAAGTTCTTTTCATATACTGGGACTATCATTACACAGTATGAGTTCTAAGAAATTTTGTAACAGCATTTGCTGTTGCGATGACTCAACTTCGTCCACAAAATAATAAGACGTCTATTAAGATCTCACCAAGTCCCAAACCTCACTGTTAATGACCATCTGACTCCGATAAAACAGAGATTTTTAGACTAAGTTCTAAGTTTCTAAGTTCCAGACTGTATCCCGTATTCGTTGATCTTTGGCTTGTAGGGTTTATATTTATTTTAACTAACATTTATTTTAAGTTTAAGCTATCTTTCCTGTCAAGCCTTCACTTTGCCCTAGAATTGCCAATGCCCGAGAGTATATATGCCAATGCCATATAGTAGAGAACGCGCAGAGTATTCAAATTTTTAGCAGAGAAGTAATTTGAGTTAAATAGAAGGGAAACGAGATTTGTAAGGTGTGCTTCTTGAATCACGAGTGTGAAGGTTGCTTGGTAGAAAGTTTAAGAACGCGCGTTTCGGCCTGTGTGCCTACTTCGGCAGTTAGTTTAATCTTTCAACTTCTTAATCAGAAGTTGCTGAATCTCAGCTGTACTTAGAACGCGGTTAAGTTAGTCACGTTTATAGAGCCTCGTAGGTAGTGACCTCGTTATTTATTCATCCTGTTATTTATTTTTAGTTGTACTTTTCTATTTTTGTTTAACCGCCGGGTCGGCGTAGTTTGTGAGAATCGAGTGAACGCAACTGTGACTTCTAAAGTGAAATAAAAATGGAGTTAAACCCTTCTTAAGAGTCTGTGTAACTTCCAGTTCATAGCAGTCACTACTACTATTGCTGACAAGTTGGGACCTCTCAACATCACAGGTTTACCAAGGATCTGCAGCATTTCTTGATGAAAGTGATAAGACGCTGCAAGGAAAAGATATATTAAATTCCTTATCTAAGACGAGAGAGATTTGTCTCCAGTGCCTTTATGTGCCTAGATGTCAGTGCGTAGGTGAATGTCTCACATACAGTGGAGGAAACAAGTGTTTGAACAATAAAAATTGGTGCAATATTTTTATTAAAAATAGTGTAAATTAAATTACCTTTTTACTCAATAATTAGTTCAGTTAATGGAGTTTAAGCCAAGGAAGTAATTCACTTTACAAAGCCAAGGACCTTATACAAAAAATTAAAATTAAGTATCACGTAATCTTTTCACAACACCAAAAAAGTATTTGAACAACCAGTGAAAAAGATTAAAGTTTGACTGAAATGCTGAAGTGAAAGAAAAAGAAATGCAGTTTGTTTTAGAACGTTTTATTAGTCTTGTCAATTCCAATTTCCTTTTTATTATTACATGTACAAGGTATTTCTCCCGCCTTCTTAGCTTGCCTTCGTGGTGTATTGGTTCTACACGCTGGTCCGGTATTTCAGAGGTCCGTGGTTCGATTCCCGGCAAAGGCTTTGTTAATTTTTCATCTTTCCTGCTTCCGAATAATAACTAATGTCTCTGGACATGTATAAATGTTTTTTAAATGTATGGAAAGCAGAATGAGTTGAACAATCAATGAAAAAATAGAAACTTAAAATACTGAAATGAAAGAAAAAGAAGTGCAGTTTGTTTTAGAACATTCTGTTAGTCTTATAAGTTCCATTTCCCTTTTCATTATATAAATTTATTATTTTGAAATGTGAAGAGAAGCAGAAGGAGTTGACTTTAGCAATGCGTGATAGAATTGTAACATTTAAGAAATAATGGCTCCACTTATCGCGAAATAGCAAAAATGATAAGATTAAATTAATCAGCTGTTTATTCTGTGGTAAATAAATATAAATGAACTGGGAGTATCGAAAATAGAAAGAGGATAGGACGAGCAAAAGTTCTTATAGCAAGAAAAAGTAGGATGTTTGAAAGGGTAATTAAAAAAAAAAAAAAAAAAAAAAAACACTTTTATTAGCAGTGTACAAATGTCTAATGACCTTACACATGGTTCATGTTTCGGTGTTACACTTCAAACAGTAAGAACCTATATAAATTCGGATATAAGGAGTGCAAGAAAAAATCGTACATAAGTGAAGCTAATCAAAAGAGAAGGCTTCATTTTGTGAAAGAATATATAAATTAACCTTTAAATTTTTGGAAGAAAGCTATTTTCATTGATGAAAGTAAATTTTGCTTGTTTGGATTCGAAAGTAATAAAACTGTTTGGAAAAATAATAAAATGGCTCTAAATCTTAACTGTATGCCCAACTGTAAAGCATGATGGTGGGCGCGTAGTATGAGCTAAAATGAAACTGGTAATTTGACTATAACTGAGGCAATTTTGAATGAGAGAAAAACACAGAGATGTTAGGAGATAATTTATTTCAAAGCGTGTCAAAATTGAGTATTAAAGATGACTTCTGGTCCCAACAAGAGAATGACCCTAAACATAGCTAGGGTTACAAAAGAGATACTATGTGTAATTTATGGTGTTGATTGTTAAATAGAACGCACATGTCAGAGTTGGTTAAAAATTTCAAGGAAGAGTTTTCCACTACTACAATGCCAGGCCTCTCACATCTTTTGCAACACTAACGAAATTACTGGAGCTTGGTAGAGAAATGATGTCGCATTCAGCCATATAGCTCTAACCTTGCACCTGCGGATTATTATATATTTCGATGTTGACAAAACTTTTTAAATAGTAAAAATTTCAATAATAACAATAATGTAAAATCACGCTTCAATGAGTGTTTTTGATGAAAATGATCAGATGTTCTACGAGCGTGGAATCATGAAGTTACCATGAAGATGGCAAAAGGTCATCGAACAGAATGGAAAATATATGACTGATTTAAAGTTCATTTTTTATATAGAAAAATACTGAGTTTTATTTCGCACTGAAAACCTTAATTACTTTCTTACCAACCCGATATATTTTTGTATGCAAATAAAAAAAACAGTTTTGTTTTCTTATAGAACATTCAGAATAGAAAAAAGTTATGTTTTTTATTTTAGGGCCTAGATAAAAAAAAATAAAGCCTTTTTTTTTTTTTTTTTTTTTTTTTTTTTTAGATTTCAGACGAACCAGAAAGGAATTGTGTGTTTATTAAATTAAATAAGAACATAGTAAGAGTGTGTAATTTTATTACAAATGTGAGTGAGTTTTGTATTACATTTTATGAAGGAAAAAATATTTTAGTTTATTTAAGTACATCTTTTTTGTTCAAAACAAACAGAGTAAGCGAATAATAATTTTTTTTCATGCAATACAGTTAATATGGGTTTATGCTGCGGGAAAAAGTAGTTCAATTATCTGGATTTTTCAATATCCGGAGGGAAATTAGAAACATCCGGTTAATAAAAGTATTAGTTAGTCCGGATATTCGGAGCTGCACTGCATTTAGTATCCTTAATTAACGCAAAGAACACATATTTGCGTCATTTTTAACACAAATAATATTAAATAGAACAAAAATGTGAAAAAAAGATTAACAGAAGCCTAAATGCTATTTACGTACATGATTAAACTTGAATAAGAATTTGATTTAAATACCTACAGTAAATTAATACCGTTAATCATATTTATTTTAAATTATTATCGTACTTTCACAAATATAAAATTTTAAAGGTCAGTAAATCCATAATAATATTTATTTATTCAAAATAATGTACTTACGATATGTAGTTGAATAAGTTTTCTGTCGCTTTCAGAAAATGCAGAATTTAGTTCGAAAGATGATACGGGAAACACATATGTGTCTTCTAGACTGATATTGTAATCTGTGATTCCTAATGAATAATTATTCTTCAGGCAAATTATCACCAGCGTAAATATCAAATCCCGTTTTAAGTTAAGCATTGTCGTCTATAGCTATAGCAGCTACTTCACTATAAAATAGGTCTTCCACTGAGCATAAATTATTGTAGTATGGATCTGAAACAGATAATCTTCAAATCCTGGGATATTCTCAGAGCGAACGTCATGTGTTCCAAATTCAATTAACTTGCTAATCGAAACCATAATTCTTTCTCGTGACCGAAGAATGCCAAAGAACGTCAAGTCATTTGATTAGTGGAACACCTGCATTTACCGAGCTGGAAATTTTCAAATGGTAAATGGTAAATTACCTGGAAATGACGGGAACGTCGAATTGTTGATATAGCTGCTAAAGAACATTTTGACCTATCTCTTTGCGTCATTTCTGAAGATGACGACATTAGGGATATTTAATCCAAGCTTATGAAGCAAAAGTTATGGGGCTCTAGTTACCGAATAATTGCAGGTAAAAGATCTCGACGCAGAATGCCAGTTTTCTTTTTTTTCCTTAAATGCTGTATTTTCACATGTATAAAACCTACTTCTTGACGATGAAAATTTATAGGTATGCAATATCATGCATAAAAAAAAACCACTTAAGTGATAGTTTAAATACAATATAACAACGTTGGTTATAATCAGATTCGTCTATAAATGGTAGTTTTAATTTTAAAAATATGCGCAGTAATGCTTATTATCCCAAAGGGGCTGTAGCCTAGAAAAGTTATTAGTATCAAAACGGTATTTTGTGGCATATCAGTACAAACGGCGAATCGATTTTTAAATTATTGTCACCAAATATCATCTCCCTGACTTAAAGAAATTAAGTAATGAAGAATGTGCATGAATGTATGAACGTTTTCCGCGTTGCGAAAAAACGACGGTACCTAGAGGCATCCAATTCTTAATAACGTAGTCTTCCACCTGAATATGGACACCTAGAAGCAGAATGTTTAAATTTTGAATTTGTTTTATTGTGTATTTCATATTTTGTTAAACATTTACGAATTTTTGATGGCAAACGTTTACAATAACGAACAATGCCAAACTGTGCGGAAAAAAAACATTTTTATCTCCAACACGCGAGACTGCCTATTGGAAATTCTAAAGATAGGTTATTTTTATATATTATTAGCCCCAATACTCTCAAAACGTGTACGCGTATGTAAATGAAGAAAACGCTGGCGTAACGGAAAATCTGCAAGCTTTCAGACTTTGGGGGGGGGGGAGCTTATGCGCTAATTATTCACATTTTTGGTACTTATTTTAAATTGTAGAGACATTAGGTATTTTTTTGAAGCAGGCAAGATGAAAAATGAGCAATCGCCTTCGCCGGGAGTCGAACCACGGACCTCTGGAATACTGGCCCAGCGTGCAATCTACTACACCACCAAGGCACGCTAGGAAGGGAGAAATACATTATATACTCCTCCTTTGAAAGGGCGGCTGGGGTTTTTAGGGGACCCAATCGCCAAATCCTGGGTGGGGAGAATCCTCATCCAACACCCTCTTAGTTCGGGTGCCACTGTAAAGACATTAGAAAATTTTTGGAAGCAGGCAAGATGAAAAATGAGCATTCGCCTTCTCCGGGAATCGACCTATGGAATACCGGTCCCAGCGTGCAGAACCACTACACCACGAAGGCACGCTAGGAAGGCAGGAGAAATACCTTATAAAATGTTCGCATAAAATTTCAACATAAAATTTACACAAAATAATTGGCACAAATTTCCGGTGAAGATAAAGTTTCACAGATTTCCATTGTTTACCGCAAAATTATCTTTCCAACGTTATTAACTTTACCTGTGATAAAATAAAAGAGAGATTAGACATTTTCAGCGTGAGGAAGCGAATATTCAACAATGCTTTCGCCAAGATTCGAACCGTGGACTTCAGATTCCAGTCAGCTGTGCTATCACAGAACAGAATTCTCAACAAGAGGCGGAATACGACAGTTCCTTCTGAAATAAAATCATAATTTGGAGTAAAAATGCATAGTTTCATTGTTAAAATTGCTATTTTGTTCTTATTTATGGAATTAAACACTCTTCACTGCTTTTAATTATAAAGAATACCCCTTAAAATGAAAAATATTTATTTTTGCTAAAATTAAGGGACATTTAAAACCACGGAAGAAAAAAAAAGAAAGAGATTGGAAGTCGGAAAAAATACTTGGAATTTTATCTTAGAAAAATATTCGTCATGCAAAAGTTTAATTTTTTTTTTTATACCATAGGAAAAACTTTTCATGAAGACAGAATAAAAGAATCCTTAATAAAACACAGGTTCAGGTTTTTTCCTGCTGTTCTTTCGGATCAAGAAGTCGTTGTTAGAGTAATAAGAAACGAGAAATGCGTTTTATTAGCGATTGCGTTTAATCACGTTTTGTCACCGGTACCAGTAGAAATACTTAGCTTTATTTCCAAAACGAAAACATACATAATTTAATTTGTTATTAAAAAGAAAAGAGACAGTTATTACAGAAATACATTTTAAAAAGAATTTTTAATGTTGTGGAATATGCCAGTTATCAAAAACTAAACTTTTGCATTATTTTCTTTCCTTTTTTTATATTAATGTAAACTTTTACATTTATGTTGCCAGATTTTACATCTAATAGATTAACATAATAAATCCACATTAACCATAATTCGGCGGAGGAAAAGCTCCGTCGGCCAAAGGATAAAGTAACAAGTAAGGAATAATGCTAGTGAACTTGCCATCAGTTCACTATCTCTTTTGCCGTACTGTACATTTAGTGTTTGGAAATGATCCTTGCTATAGTGATCATTTCCACATCTCTGTGTATCTTTTACGAGAAGGAGTAAATCCCATGTAAGGAACACCTCGTTTTGTACTTGTTACTCTCGTTTTGTAATGGGAACTCTTCGCATCTCTCGCAGAGCTTACGGAAGAAATGCTTATAAGCTATTTCTCACGCCTTCTTAGCATGCCTTCGTGGTGTAATGGACTGCACATTTGGCGAGCGAGTATTCGAGAGGTCCGTGGTTCGCATCCCTGCGAGGGCGTTGCTCATTTTCACCTCTCCTGCTTTGAAATAGCTTAATGTCTCCACAGTGGCGCCCAAAATAAAAAAGAGGGTGAATGATGACTCTCCGCCACAAAGATCTGGCGATTGGGTCCCATAATCCCCAGTCTCCCTTTAAAAGGAGGAGTATATAAGGTATTTCTCCCGCTTTCTTAGCACGCCTTCGTGGTGTAATAGTCAGCAAGCTCGGCGCGTATTCGTGAGGTCCGTGGTTCGAGTCTAGGCAAGAGCATTGTTCATTTTTCATGTATCCTGCTCTGAAATAACCTAATGTCTCTACAACCTAACAGATATGCATATCGCTGAAGCAGTAAATACCATTACGGATATAATTATGCAGGCAGCTACTATCTCTATACGGGTCACATCAATAAAGAAAAGAGATACTCAAAACCATGGTGGATCCGTGAATGCAAAGAAACATCGAGGCAACAGAGAAAAAGCTGGGAATCTTTTCGTAGATATCCCACAGTGTCAAATCTCATTGTCTTCAAGAAAGCCAAAGTTTGTGCAAGAAAAATGAGACGGAAGACCACAAGGATTCACGGATATAGTATGTGTCATCAATGACATCCTCTACGCCAAGTCAAAGAGTATGGGAAAGAATTAAAAAAGCATTGCGGATTGTACAAGGTTCACTCACTCTCTATTCTGGAAAAAGATGCCCGAGTGATCAGCACAACCGAAGAACTGCGAATACAATTGATGGGAATTTTGCTGCTATTTTTAGTGGTAGTAACTATCCGCCGGCATTTCTTTGTCAAACTACGTTCTGACAAAACTCTCATTGCGTTTACTCTAACACCTCTGACCCATATAATAGCAAATTTACCATGTCTGAGCTAAAAAGAGAACTGATGAAGACACATAAACCAAACCCGGGTCCGGGTGGTGTTTGTTATTATAAGCTGAAGCATCACTGGCTGCCCTTCTCACCCTTCACTCTCATTCGTGCGTGAAAGGAACATTTCTTCCCCATTGCGAGGAAGAAAGCGATTGTCATCCCCATAACTAAACCATGGAAAGACCCGAAGAATCCCTCCAACTACCAGCCAATCGCCCTTACGTGTTACATTTGAAAATTATTTGAAAAAATGGTAAACCGTCGTATGCTCTATTATTTAGAAAAATACAAAGTACTCTCACCGTATCAGAGTGGTTTTCGCAAAAGTAGAACAACAATAGATAATATCCTGCTTTTGGAAATCTCCATTTTTAAAGCTTTTGTCAAAAGGAGCGACTTAGTTTCAATATTTTTATATATAAAAAGCTTATGACAAGGCGTGGAGATATGGTATGTTATATGATCTTTAACACCAGCGCGGAAAGATGACAATTTTCATAAGGAATTTTTCGGAAGGCTGGATTTTATAAAAGTGAGAATTGTCTCAGATGTTTTCTGTCTCAAGGCTAAAGAAAAGGGTGTGTCTCAAGGCTGCGTTAATATTACTCTTTTTAATTTAAGAATAAACTCTGTTTTAAAACAGCTTCCTCCTTCCAGTTCAGGCTAACTATGTACTGATGATCTGCAGATAAGTTGTCAAGGCGCATATATGAGACACGCGAACAGACAGTTGCAGATTGCTCTGAACAGGTTTCCCATGTGGTCAAACAGTGAGGGCTTTATATTTTCAAAACAGAACCAATTATGTGCATTTTTCTCAAAAGCGGAATCCGCATCCTGAGCCCGAGGTTCATCTCCAAGGCTCGTTGATTTAGTTGTCTCTGGAGTAAAATTTTTAGAAGTGATCTTTGACCATAAGATTACTTTTCTTCCCCACGTCTTAACGAAGAAATGTTTCAAAATAGTAAATCTGTTAAAAGTGTTGGCGAAGATCTCCTGGGCAGCAGAACATTGCTCTTTACTTTGTATTTACAGATCGCTAAAACGCTTGAGATTGGACTACGGGTCAAATGTGTACGGATCTGCACAGCCTTCTGTCTTAGTGAAACTTCGTCCTTAGTGAAACATCATCAGGCTCTGAGAATTCGTCCTTGAACTTTTAGAACCTATCCTGTTCACAGGCTATATGTTGATAGTTATGAACCCTAACTTCACTAAGGCGTGAGCAACCATCTCTTAGTCAGTAGTCAGTATTTCAGTACTATGTCGTAATCTGATCATCCTCTACAGATCTGCAAATTTGCTACAAACTTTTATTTTCTGCACGGCCTCTTAGCGTTCTTCCATTCTTTAAAAGAAATGTATTATTGATTAAAACATATCAGATATAAAAGCCCAGCCAGATATAAAAGTCATATCAAATGTCAAATCAAAATATCAGATATAAAAGTTCGCTTGTCAGATATAAAAGCCAAGCCAGTAAAGCATCTTGAAATTCTGCCCTGGGACAACTTGATTCGATTTCTGGGTTTTTCACCATCTTCATTAGGAAAACACTAGTAAGATTGTATACAGGCAGCATTTTTGTGAGCACAGACATGAAAACACCAATTGCATTAGTTCCAATAGGGTTGGTCATGTAGGATCAATGTGCGAACTTACGCATGACAGGAATTTTGTATTGCGTTGTGTTCAACGTTCTTAGTAGTTTCATGTGGTAGCTACTAATCGTGCTCTGCCAAACTGAGAAGTGTGTAACGTTACAGAATTGAATAGTTTTGGGATAAATTAATTTCATCGAGCTACCATCGGTTCTGCGTGCATTCAGACCATTACGAACCCTAAAAAATGTAACAATATATTATTCCAAAATTTTGCTTCACCATAAACAAAGACGTAAGGCAGTTGCTTGCTTAAGTGGCCACTGTCTAATGTTTTGTTGACATTTGAATTTTCTTTACAAACTACAAACTATACGATTCGGTGGCCATTTTAATAAGAATGTTCAACAATAAATTATCAGCTATTGACGTTTTAAAGCTAATAAACTCGCAACAGTTGCAGATGACAAGAATTTGTAGGAGTATTTGGGAAAAAAAAAAACAAGTTAAATTTAAAAAACTTTTACCGATGTGGCTTTTACTATTTATATCTTAAATTCAGTTGAAAGCGATTAAATTCAAATAAACCTATCGAATATTAAAAATTAACCGAAAGTTGGATGGAGCGTTTCGTGTTTCAACATGAATACACTCTCAACTACCGAACTAGTTTTAAAATTTTATTTAAATCTATAATTTGCGTGGCCGTGAGGAGAAACTAGAAATTTGTTCAGAGTTCGAATGCTATAAAGTTCAGTTTTACACTAGATATATAAATTCAATTTCATACAATCTATATGAATTTCATTACGTTTTATAACAATACTTTTATTTTCAGTAATATTTGAATTTTGCTGATATTTGTACAATTTCAGTATTGCTGATACATATTAATAAAAAAATTCAATTCTGTTTTGATTAGATATGGCGGAAGACAGTTTATTTCGATTGTAACGCTAATCTTAACACCAAAGAATGCGAAAGTGTCCTTATACCATCAAACATATAAATATCTCCATTAGAGAACAAGGGAACTTATATTAATTAATTGTGATGAGTATAATAATATTTCACGTACTTAGTACAAATGTAAATAGTTTTTAAAATTACGGAATTCTTTCTTAACTTCCTCAGGCGATAATAAAATATATTTAAATATAAAAAATTTACTGTAAATCATTTTTAAAGCAATTTCAAAATATATTCTTTAATAAATAGATTTCATTCTAACCTTCAGATGCGCCAGCATTAACTAATCTGTCAGTGGAAAATTCTGATACAGTCCATGTTGCATGTTCATTAAATTTCATAATCATCTTCTTTAAAATAAAAGGTTTCTTCATTCTTAATGATAGATGTCAGCAATGTACTCTGCAATGATAAATGACATGATAAAAAAAGCACTCCCCAGAAAATAAAAGTTGTTAAATGGGAATGGTAATGTCATATTCAAATGAAACTTTAGTGTAGTAAAACAAAAAATAACCAAGCACTTACAAGTTTTCGAAATAAGTATATGATCGCACGAAAATTAAGTAATGTTTAAAATTAGCAATAAATTCTCAGAAAAGAGAAAATGGTTTTAAACAAATTATTAATTTATTTTATTTTTTTTTCTTGTTTGTTTTTAACAAACAAATCATGCATGTTGCATGTTTGCAACAACATTCAATCATGAATGAATGTTGTTGCATGTTTGAATCATGAATGTTGTTGCATTTTTGTTGCACGAATCAAATTAATCAGTCATAAATTCGTGTTAGCAAACGAATTTTGTTGCAAGCATGCAAGTTTAACACTTTCTTTGCAAACTGTTAAAAGAACGCAGTGTTAAAGAATACGGTATTATGAAAATGATCTAAGATAGCGAATTCTTCGCTGTCCTTCCAATTCTTTATATTTCTTAAAATCAGATTATATATCAGATTATCTTTATACAAAGAAATCATGTTTATGATAAAAAAAAGCTTTCTGCCCTTAAAATTCAATAAATGTTCATGTCATTTTAGATGGTGAAATAAAAGCATGGCATAAAATATATGTATTGCATAAGATATTGTCTTCGGAAAGTTTTAAAAATGTCTTCTTTATCCAATGTTAAATATCTTACGATGATTTTCTTAATTTTAGTACTTTAATTAAATTTATTGACAAAACCTTATAACCTTAATGCTCAGTGAAAAGACTACATAAAAAAGAAAGAAAAAAAACTCTGAAAGATTTGACATTTTAACGTTGCACCAGAGGATTTGTTAAGTTTTCCTATTCTCTCGTTGACCATATCTGCTTCCAAATCTGCTCCTGAACTCACGCCTGATAACACAGTTTCTTTCTACTTTTAAAACTGTTAAAAAGCTTCGCCATAATCGCACTTACTCCACATAAATTTCAAGAGGAAAATTTCAAACCTAAAATGAGCATAGCTCTAGAAATCCCAACAGCAGACTATCGGTTGTCACACATACTCGCTATATTAATTTATTTGAAAACATGCAGCTAGAGCGGCCGGTGTGCTAAATTATTTATTAAAAAAATCAAAAAAATGGTTCAAGAATTTTAATGTGCCTAGGTTGTATCATTTCATAAAAATATTTAATACTTCTAAATCATGATTTAAAAGATTTTGATAGAAGTGAATCATATTAAAAAGGTGGAAAAAGTATTTGTAAGAAATGCGTTTTATTGCTTTTAAATCACTTCGTTCGCTAATGAGTGACAGAAAAATTAAATTTTAATGTTAATACATTTTACTGAATAGCATCACGTTAGTGCTAGGAGACAATAAGTGCTCTTTTTAAGGCATTGGTAACACATCGCTTTCGAGCGAGTGGGTTAAAATTGAAAGATTAATGCCTTAGATTTTGCTGATTGTCGACATTCTTACACGTTACAATACACATTTATATACATAGCATGTGCATTGAAATTTCTGTTATTGTTGTCGAAAGTTGTAGAGTGTATTGTAACTATGTCGTTACTGGTGAAGAAATGATGCAGCAGCTCCCTTTACATATAATATTATCTTTGATGTTGCGAAGTTTCGTTTCTCTAGATTGGCAACAAGAAAAAATATAAAGAAAAAGAAGTTCGTTTGGATGTTGTAACTCTAACGTCTTCTTTCATTATTGTGAATTAAATTATGCTTAATCCATTACGGAATAATCATTTCAGTTATTTAATTATTCCATATATCGACTCAGCATAGCGTTTACAAAAAACTAATAAATGTATAACAAAAAATTAAATTCGCACGAATAGACAGAACAATAGATGTTCAAAAACGAATCATTCTTCCATTTGTCACTTACGTTAACGTCGTAAAGGACGTGTCCAAAAGTATTTTGCGCACCTGCAGGTTGAACAATAAAACGTAATAAACGTTTTTATAAACTCTCACTACAATTCAATTTCAGAAACAGCAAAGATTGAAGCAGGTAAACATGGGCGAGACTGGGATTTCTAACCGGAAGCTTCTAAAATTGTACAGAAAAATATCGTTCAGAAAAATTTGAGGTAACTGTAGAAGATGTGGTTCTACTTAATTCTGGCTTTACTTTTCACTTTTGCAATTTCTAAACAAGATCGAAAGAAAGAAATCTATGAGTCCGAACAAGAAATTTACAGAGGAGAACTAATTTACTTGCAGATAGTAAGTAGTTCAATCTTTATATTTTCCTTCTGGTTACTTTATTTATAATGCTATTCGAGAATGCATAATGCAGCTTAAGGTTACATTATATTAACTGTATAATTGTATAATTAATTCTTTATATGTTTCCAGTTTAAGATTCTTATAATAATAAGTATTCAGGTTTTCTTTTGGTTGTTGTTGTTGTTGCTGTTGTTTCTTAAATCAGAGGCTGACTTGTGGCAATTAGCTTTTTAATCCGCACCGTTTGAGATAACTAATATTCTTTAACTCGCACCGCTTCTGATAATTCATTCTTATCAGCCCAAAAGGGAACGTTAGTCCCGAATGGGCTGTTAATCTCGAAACGTCATTTTGCGTTGAATCACTATAAACGGTGTGTTACTTTTCACATTGTCGCTGCCAAATATTATCACCCTGTATTGTACTTAATACAGGGCGATATAATAAAGAAATTAAATAATGGAGAATCTGTCTGAAAGTATGCATGTTTCTCGCATAGTGGGGAAAAAAAGTTTCCTAAAGCCATCAAATTTTGAATAAAGTAGTCCTTCACCCGAACATGGGCACCTGGAAACCCAAATTTTGAATTTCGAATTTGTTTTATTATGTATTTAATTTTTCACGAACGTTTAACGAAATCTTGATTAAGAAACTTGATGATTTGAAAGCGAGCAACGGCAACACTGTACGGAAAAATAATTATCTCCAGCGCGTGAAACTATCGATCGGAAATTCTAAAGATAAGCGTAATATTTAATAAATAAAGTAAACACTCAAAAAGTTAATAATAACATGACAAAATAAGTTCTGCAAAGCCATCTTACTTGCAAAACTGAAGATTGATATGATGAATTAAGGAAAGACCGAAAGAAACAGAAAAATGCATACACACACTCTCCCTCGGGAATTCTAAACGTATACTGCTATGCTGCTTTTAAAATTTCTGTATTTTGACTCTTAAACGGTATATGGCGTAAGCGCGGAGAAAATGTTGTCGAGTCCATATTTCATAGCTGTCAGAGCCTCGAAGAGATTGGACTTTTACTTCCACGGTAGTTTCGAGGAAAAGCACCCTGCCAGTGGTCCAGTATCATTGACTGCACATTAATTGACTTATCAAGGGGAAAATCTACTATCAATTAACAACTAAATTAAGTGAGAGTGTTGCGTCTTTTTTCGAAGTAAGGATCAAATTATTATTTTGCTAGAGCCATGTCATAAGTCACTAACAACAATAAATCAATAGAAAAACATTAGTTCATTTAAGCCAAAAGAACCTTCACAAACAAAGTAAAATTAGTAAGATAATCTTTTAAATTTAAGTTGCTCATCAAGAACATAACTAAACGCAATCCTTACTTTAGAATAAATATTCTCCGACATTCTCATTTTTAAACTCAAATTCAAAAGTTAAAAACAAAAAATACATTCTTTAATATTAAAAAGTTAAATTCAAAATCAGAAGAAGATCAGAATTTACATAATCTTTAAATTAAAGTTGAAAATTCTGATGTGTACACCACATGACTTCCATGTACAAAACATTAAATTACACGCTTTTTCTCTTGAATTTCATTTAAACTAATTTCCTCGAATTTCATTTGAGATACATTTCTCATTCAATTGATTTAGTTCTCACTTCACGGCAAGGCACAAATACATAAAAATTCAAAATATTTTCTTTAAAAATTGAAAGATATCGAAAAAGATAAAACACCAAATACAGTTAAAGCAATTAAAAACAATTTTTACAATTAAAATTACAGTTTCTACGCAAAACAAGCAATTGGGCCAGCGGGCAATAAGGCCGACTTTTCGGTGCACAAAACTAAAAGCTTCCGCAAAAATACACTGAAGGTGCAGAAAGACTTAATTCACTATTCTGCTAAGTTTCAAATGTAAACAAATATGGCTGCTATAGTAAAAAAAATTTAGGCTTGGCAGCACTTAAACAGCTCTTAAATTGTTAAATTAAGGTATAGAAACCTTAACCAGAAGATAAGAACAACAGAATTCAATCATTATTAAAACAAAAAATGCACAATTTACCAGCATATAAGAATTTTAAAAAAATTGATCGTATTAAAGCTGACGGCTGTATATTTTAGAAAAGGAAAGCATCTGCCCCTCAGATCTGCTATTAGTTTTCACCAGCTGTATTTAAAAGTGATATTAAGGCTTTGGCATTCTCGCTAGCCGATGCTTTAAAATTATGCGCCAGTAAAATAACTGAGCCAACTTATTTCTTATCGTATTGAAAGTGTAGTCTTAGATTGCATTACTCGTATGTGTATCAAATGGTCTCTTCTTGTTTAATTTAAACAGCCATAAGTGGTGGTTTATCTGTAGCACAACTCGTGTCTTTACGTTAAATGCTCGATTAACATAAAAAGGTTATTTTAAGCCTTCTCCTGCATTTGTGAATTGTTGAAACGTAGCTAGAACTCGCTTTTAGTCTAGTACGATCTGCAGGATTTTAGTTTCATATATTATAGCAACTCTTCAAGCTTAATAATGTGTCAATTAACATGAAATATTTAATATAGCAACATAAAAACTTCATTTCTAATTTCGTAAAAATACATAACTGCAGAGGTTTGACGTTTAATGAAAGCAAACGAAATGAACACTTTTCCTTTTATTCATTAAAAAGGCATTTAAAAGAATTTAAAAAAAAAAAAAAAAACTAAGTGCGGAAAACATTAAAAAAAAATAATTGTGCTAAAAAAATTACCGTATTTATTCGAGTATTCTCCCACTTTTCTTACTAATATTACAGCTTGAAAACCGGAAGGGAAAAAATTTCTGGAAGCCTATTTGTTTCTGGAGAAGGTGTATATCTTTTTCTGGAGATACTATACTGCTTAAATGATTGACAGAGAACATTAAAAGCCATACATAAGGACAGACTGATTTAATGAATTTTTTTTGTTTGTTTAATAAAAATACTTTCCTATTTGTGCACACATTCTACACTGTTACCGGAATTCTTTAATTATGCTCCAACTTATTGCTACAGTCCAGTTTCTAAATCACATGCTGGAAAAACTTCGGGAAGATCACGCGATGAATTGAAATATGCGACTAAATACGGTAACGTTTTAACCCTTTCCGGCACGCTACTCTTTAAAGTTGGAATTTTACCAAAAAAAATTTTAGGCAGTATTTAGGCCAGAAGAGTATGCAGGTATAATTTTGCAAGATGCACACCGTTTCCATTTGTGGGTGTGTCCGAAGCGAACACACTTAGCCGCACGAGCTGCGTAGGTGAGCATTGCTGTGAAGCACATATTACAGTAAAAATTTACTGTGATTTAAACAGTAGAATCTGATCTCTGTAGCAGATTTAGCATAACCCGGGCACACGGAAGGCCTGCTTCTACCCTAAAAAAACAGGGAAAAAAGGAAACCTCTTGCTTCGACTATGCTGAGGCCTCCCGAGCCATTTAACAATTTTAAAATTTTAAGAAAAATAATTAAAATACTATCCTATTTACAATTAATTATTACTAGAAAAAAATATTATTAAATATATATACAATAAAATCTACAGAAATTATAACTAAGCAAATGCGCACGAGAAGCAAGAGAAAAAGGGTTTGCTCTCCCTGAAATAATAGCTAAGTGAAAAAAGCACCGGGGTCTTCAAAACAAAAACAGAAAAGAATAAAACAATATAAATAAACTGCCTACCCCGTGTTTGAAGCACGAAACCAGATTCTGTGACTCACTCACTGAGAGGCGCTACCAGTACAGTGTGTCAGTCCGAACACACCACGAAGGCTCAATAAGCAATATTTCAAAGATAAAAATTAAATAATGCAGATAGGTGATTAGCAGAACAACAAATTATAAAAGATTTTTTTCATTGATATTTTTATTTTAAAAAAAAGTCTGAAACATTCTTTGAAAAGCAGTGTCTTTAAAAACAGAATATATCTCAACGTTAATGATTTGCTTGTGTGGTGCTGCCATCTATTATTCGTAGAAGAGATTAAAAGTAACCAATAGTGTAGTTTTCGTGATATTTATCGATTATTTTCAGGGTCTAAAGAGGGAATATTTTTGGTGTCTTCACACCGAACACACTGCCCCGGAAAGGGTTAATGATATCAATGAGAATTTACGTATTATTAATTCTTTTTTTTAGTTAACCAGTAATGGATTTTATTCGCCATTGGAACTTTACCCAACAGATGAAAACAAAGAAAGTGCATGGCCAGAAGGACTCACTAAGCTAACGAAGGTAATTAATTTTGCTAAATTTTACTTCTTATGAAACAAATCTTTTTATTCTGGCAACGTAATTAAGAAGAAAATTATGTTCTTTATTTTTAGATAAATTTCTGCCCAAGACACTGTAAACTATACTTTAATCTTCGAAAAGATTAAACTTTGAAAATAGGAATAGAGATTGATTTGGAATTCAGAAATCAGGGGAAATATCAAAAAATCATGTAAAGAAGCTAGCTAAATCTTCAGATATAAGTGCTGAAAAAACGAGTTTAGGTTACCATTTTTTTAACTTCTAATATTTTTAAAAGCACTTTACCTTCAATCAATACGCAGAATAAAATTTCATCTGCAAATTATACCATTTTTTGACGTAGTTAAATCCGAATATTATGAATAACTACTTGCATTAAAATTGCAATAAACCAGTCATGGCAAATAAATGTGTGTGTAAGGTATATCCTAATTTTATAATAGTTATTTTTAAGCTCTTTTCCTGTCTCTTCTAGCTTCAGCTTACGATTTCTTACCAGAATGAATTTTTAGAAACAGGTTAAATGCAAATGAAAAGGAGCAGTATTTAAGTCGAATTCCATCTGCCTTCGATAGAGAGAATTCAATTTCCTGAACAGCGCGCATTTGCCTTTTGCCTATGTCTCTCTAAGCTGTTACTACGCTCGGCCGTATTACGTGTACTTGATAGCTTCGCTGGCTAATTTAATATTAGGGGCCAATTAGTTAGAAACTGTGTTAGCTTCGGCTAAATCTCTTTAGTTAGTCATAAGTTCTTATTTCTTACATTTTTGAGTTTAAGTCCAAGCGGAGGCATTGTTGTACGTCCTGAGAAAGGGACCATCTGTACATCTTTATTTTGAGCAATAATCCCTTCTTAAATCTACATTTCTGTGTTTGGACTTAAGCGATTATTCGCTAAGCAGTTCTCTAGATTCCTCAACACTTAGTTAATAGAGATAAAAGTGAGGATCCCTACAATGTAATTTAATTTTTATTAATTTATTGTTATTTTATTCAATTTTTTAAATTGCTTGTGATTCACATGCCCATCATCAAGCGTTATTAACAACTACAAAAGACACATGACCTGTTAGAGAAATAAATTCTTAGGCTTATATTATTCATCCATAGTTATAATTATATCCATTTATGATTTATTATTGTGCTCATTTACGATTTATTATTACGTCCATTAATGATTGCTGGGGAATCTGCATTTCTCCTTTCCAGCTGCGTAGTGTTTAAAATGCGTAAATTTCAACGGTATATAGTCCCGCGGTAGAAGCCAAGAAGATGTCTGTGTATGTCCACCCGACGTCCTGGTTATCGACGTGACCAAATACCCGTAATTCTCTTTAATTCGCTAATCTGATGTATGGAATCCTGACAAGGAAAGGATTTGTCAAAGATTATAATGCGAATATCCCGGACAGTATCATATGGAATGGTTGCTGCCAACTAGCTACGAACATACCAGTCAAGTTAATCGCCGTTATTCAGCCTCTCGTCTTCTTCATATTGTTCATATGTCATAGGTTGATGTATTGTGTTCATCAGTTTTGTAAATCTCAAGGAAAGCACCTGTTATAGTATATGCTTGACTTTCAAGCACCTATGCTCTTTTGGTAAAGACCCAAGTTTCACACTCCGCCAAAACTCTCAACGTCATCCCTAATTAAAATTCAACAATGATTGTAATTGGAAATTTTTTCAAAAGCTAAAATTTGGCTTCTAATTCTTTAGTTCTTATAAGTGTTTGAAGATGACGCATGCCGCATTTTTAATATAATGGATATGGGAAGCAAGCTGAACGTCAATGGGCCCGATGATTTCGAATCCTGGATATGATATGGACATTTCTGTACTGCATTGTCTTTGCGAATGGGATGCCATAAACCGCACAACTATCATTCTGAAAATTCTCTCAACTTGTTAATGATATGAGAAGGAAGATGCAAGATTCAGATTCCATACACCGGCATATTTTCAACACATACTGAGATGGTCTTGCGCAAAGTCGTTCTTCTATCACTCGTTGTCTATATCCAACAGCAGATGAAGAGCTATACATCCGTAATTATCTTAAAGGTTGTCTGTATGACTCATTCCGGTATGCTGGATAAGGAAAAAATTTTGCCAAATATTTATTTAGCGTTTTCGAAAAACAGAAACAAAATGAAATCTATGTTTAAAGTGTTAGATATCTTTACATTAAGTTTCAAGGCTCAATTAAACGTCAGGAAAATGGCTGATTAGATAAATACCAATATAATCTTAAAAAACACCCCAGGATACAATTAACCAAATGAATGCAATTAATGGTTTTAAAACAGCTCATATTTAATGTAAGAAAAAACTTTTTCTGGTTCGCAATTTCTGTCCTATTGTAGTGCATAACGGTTAAATCATCGGAGTAATATTTACGAACTTTTACAGAAAAGAAAAGCTGTAAATAAGAAAATAACATGAGCTATGCTGTAACATTTGGGGTTATTTAGCATCTGTAAATCAGAAATAGTAGAGTTCATATGGTAAGAGATTGGTGGAAAAATTTAGGTTTTCATACAAACTATTTTATTATATCTGGCTTTGTTTTAAAAGAGTCTTTGAAGAAAACAACTTCAGTTCAGATTATTGATCTTACTAATTTTCAGTCGCGATATTTAAGACACTTAAATTTCTTAAATAGTTCGTTAACCTCTTAAAGCACTCAACAGAGTTAACTCGGGTAAAATGGAATAAAGTATTCCCGCGGACCCGAATGAATACGCTCAAGAATTTTACTTTTAGGTATGAATACAACAGAATATATCCGCTAAAATTTTGAGTTAAATAAAAAAAAAGAGGTTAAAAAAGATTGAGGTATAAAAAAATGGTGGAAAAAGACAACTTTCGGAAATTTTATTTATGCCTTAAGGGGTTAAGTTGTTAAAGAATTTTTTTATATTTAAAAATGTAGCATATAGATTGCATTCTGAAATTCATTAATTAACATTTTTTTTAATCTACTATTTTAAAAAATTGTTTATTATAACGTTGAACATATATCCAGAGTTTTAATACTGAAATTTATATTTGTCTCCACATTAACTGTAGGAAGATATAAATCAAAAATGTGTTATTTTCATAAAAGGACCGTTCCGTATTTTTCCCAGTCTCAGAAACTGCTTTTTTTCATCTCGGCCATATTAAAGCAGCGAAGTTTCAGCCCTCATTCTTAAACACAGAAAAATCAGACTTCGAATCAAATAATATCGGTCTACGATAGAAAATGTAATGTTCATTTGAATTTTCTATTTATCTGAGGAACAAATGGAATTTTTTAACTTGAATAGAGGGAGAAAATATCTTTATTCAGGTAAAAACAAATGAATGGGAAAAAAATCAGCAATTATTGAAATTTCATGACACCTTTTTCCAATGCTTGTTGGACAAAGTATGCTGTTAAAATCTCGATAACAGTAGAGAAAATAGATATTTGAAAATTTATCAATAATTATATATTCTTTAATTTCTTAATATTTTTATAAAATTGTTATTATTTTCATCTTTATCAGCTTTTCATAAAAGTTCATTCAACCTTTTTTGCAATGTCTTTTGGACAAAGTATTGCTATTCAAGTGTCGATATCAGGACAAAAATAATTTGTTTTAAATTTATTAATAGTTATATTTTTGGAAATTTCTTAATAGTGTTATAAAATTGTTATTATTTTCAATGTTATCCATCTTGCATAGAAATAAAGAGTACAACTAAAATTTATCGCGAAGAAATTTATTACACAAACGAATTTTCCTAGGCGTTATTGTCTTCATTAACTGCAAAGGAATTCCTCATTTCTGAAGTATATAATACTCGTATAGCGCTTTTATGTATTTTCTAACTTACACCAACACACTGCTTATAAGAATAAAAGCGACAACCCTTTAAAAGCAACTGATTATTAATAATATTTTATAAACCGTAATTAGTACTTCTAAATCGCAACTAGTTTAACATCAGGATTTATGATCACAACATCAGTATTGATATCACAAATAATAAAAGAGCTTTCTAAGTAGGTATTTTGTATCTCATAGATATTGCCTTTAAAAAGCAGTATTGCGGAGTTTCCTTCATTGTGTATACTGAGATCAAATGATTCTTATCAGCTTTCTAAAAACCATTTCAGACATATTTTACAAGTTCATATTCGGGAGAAGTTTATATTCGGGGAAGATGGTAAGCAATCCATTAAATGGTGTTGTTAAGTCATAGTTCAGTGCTCGCAAGACGCACTGAACAACCAGAGCTCTTTTCTACGGAACAGACCTGTTAGCAATATATGTACGCGGTAAAATAACAATGAATTTTAGAATGAGATCCTTATACTGCAAAAATGTTACATTATTACTGATTGGAGTCATTGCTATCCTATAGCCATGCCTGACGCCAATCCAGCATATTATTTGACAATGTATTAGTCTAAGAGGAATGGTTAAATTTTTAGGCGATTAAATTTGCTGTAAGAACTCTCCAAATGCGGGGATGGTTGTTTTTAAGGGGACTTATACACCTTAAAACCCATAAGATCTTCGAATATGTAACTGTTGCAAGAATTGGGATAGCTTATTTATTTTAAAAGCAATTACTTCCAACTTTTTAGAGCGGACTACTAATATAGCTGCTTTCTGAAATAGTCATCAGAAAGTTTGTGTTCCACAAATATTTTTATAATTTAATCCGCTTTGTGATAACATTTTTCGTCATGTTTCCACCTTGCACGCACAGTTTAAAACATTCTGTCGCATAATTTAATTCCATATTTAACATATATCTCTTATAACATTTGGAAACTATTGTGAACCAAAAATTCTAAGAATTTCGTGTTAATTTTTTATTTTATTTGGAGTTGAGTTTAAAAAATGTATTTTATTAAAAAAATTTGTAATGCTTTCGTACATATTTTTTTTAATATTAAAATCTTCATCAGATTTTTGGTTCAGTTAGAAAGTAGTGCGTATATAAAGAATTCCATCCAATTTCAAGTATGTACCATTAGCCATTTTTAAAATATCATGCGCGCAAGTTGGAAACATGACGAAAACTTTTGTCACAAAGCGGATTAAATTATAAAAATATTTGTGGCAACACAAACTTTCTGGTTACTAGTTCCCAAAGCAGCTATATTATGTAGTCAGCTGTAAAAGGTTGGAAGTAACTGTTTTTAAAATAAATAAAATATTCAAATTCTTGCAACAGTCACATATTCGAAGATCACCAGAAGTTTAAGGTGTATGAGCCCTCTTAAGCTCCTTGTTTTGAGTAAGAGGAAAACATTTTGCCCAGGTATCTGTACTTTATGGGACTTACCTTTAGTACACCTTATCTCTACAGAATGAAACAGCAAAACTGATGAAAGCTATGGTTTCATGTAACTCACTTGTGATCACGAAATGAAGCCAGAAGCCAGTTCATATTGATAGCAGCTGTCACAACAGTTCCATTTTTCACTAAGGGGGATTTCAGAACTTCAATGAATTTTCTAACTTATTAAGTTTTACCATCTCATTTGTTTCCATGTGCTTTCTTTCCGTCTAAGCCGTCAGTCGGAAATAACACTCACCTGGTCAGATCTTGGCTTTATTGTGTGCGGAGTAGGTGACGTCTTTCAAGATTCTTTGGATTGCATTTATGCTTTCTTTAGACTGCATTTATTCTCTGGACTGCATTTATACTGCTAAGCCTTTTATGCAATATAACAAAATGGTAGTTCTTGTTGATAGAATCTATATTAAGCACATGGTTAAAAGGGAAAAGTGGCATTAGAGAGACATCTGCGGAAGAAGTAATCTCATGTGTTTGCACGCTTATCACAACAAAACCAAGCCGTATTTCATATCAGGCAAAACAGTAGCTTAACCTTCTCCTAGAGGCTGGGACATAATGCTCCATACGTTCCATACTTTAAATATGTATTCAGAAATTTCAGTAAAGTATGGAGATTTTAAATTTACTCTTTCAAGAGGGAGTATGATGTGTAAGACCCTGTCAATTTGTTTTTCTGCTACCTGTTTTTAAAACAAGTGACTAAATGGGCCTAATATGTACAGAATTGGTGTCTACAGCCCAAGGGAAAGGATAAAAGTTGTAATGTTTTGACCTAAAATTAAATATTTAGAATTTATGCTATGAAGAGTCACAGATTTTCTATAATACGTCTATTAAAAGTTCATTTATTTATTTCAGCTCTCTTAGTTCCTCTGGCGCACTTATTAGTTTCTTCATTAAAATAGGACAAAAATGTTTTTCATGCATGAGTTTCTAATTATAAAAATGTTAATTTAAATTATTGATCGACCCTGACATTTCTCACTGAAACAATACCAATCTGTACACTTACAAACTTTCCAAACATTAAGGTATTGCAACTTTTTTATTACTTACATTTTACCGCTTTTCTTCCAAACATTCCATGGCGAGCCTGCAAGATTCTTTGTTTACTAATTCAGAAGTCAAACAACAAAAAGTCTGGTGAAACAACAAAAGTCTTCTTTGTTTAGTCAAGTCTGGTGAAAGGCATAGTTTTTAAACCTCTACATTTTTTTAATAAAATGTCTCAGTATCATCCATACGGGTCACATTCTCTTTTTCTTACCAAAAAAGACGTTAAACTAAGCAATGAAAAATTTTATAAAGAGTATATCAATATATTTACTCATTACGCTGTTTTTGTGTCAATTGTATAGAATTGTATAGAATTGTTTATTCTCGCGTAGCTAGGAATGCTACAGCAATACCAGTTAGGAAAGTTTCTTCGCAAGGTGTATGGCGACTTTATCACATCGAATCCAACAGAAGTGAGTATGATTCTTTTTTACTTAATTTGCAAAATGTTTTTAATTTCATTTAATTTTCAGTTATATGTATGTTTTGTTGCATTTAATTCAGTAATATCAGAAATGGCTTAGGAAGGTATTCTCCGATTAAACGGTTGATTAACAAATTACAGAAAACTAAACAAAAGGTATTTCCTTAAACCAAAAGACATCATATTATATATTTTTGTAAGGATAGATTAGTTTGTATTTGAATAAAAATTAAAGAAAAAAACACCGATTTGATTGGTTAACACACATAAATATTTCAAAACTTTCATTTTTAAGGAGGTTGCCTACACTGAGAACTTTCTTAGTGAATTACTTCATGCTTACATAACTCATAACCTCATCAAAATTTCATTTATGCAGTTCGCTCCCACAGCATGTATAGAATTTGTGACGAACTACCAGTAGTCAATGATGTAAAACACTCGATCACTGGCGGGCCTGAAACTAGCACATAATGAACCATCCAAATTTTGGTCAGCTATTGAGGAAAAAGCTTATCTGACTTTATAAATCTCTGCTATAAAATATCAAATGAATGACTAGTAATTTTTTCTTGAAAACTTAGGTTTGATTTAAATTTAAGAAATATTTATTTATTACAAAAATAGTATCTAATTTTCCGTAAGGAAACACTTTTGCGATATTCCAAAATCTCAAAATGTTGACAAACATACGAATTTTAAAACTTAAAAAATTTTTTGGAAATTTATGTTTTATATTCATAGTATATTATTCATAATTTATATTTTAATTTTTTGTTACGACTTTAGATGATTTTCCTTTATCTTTTATTTATTTCTTGAACAATTAAAAATTTTCTACCACAACTGCTATATGACAGGAATTTTTATTATGCAGCTGATCCAATTATATAATCCAAAGAACTATAAATAATATGTAATGAATATAAAAATACAAATTTTCAGAAACTTTTTGTAAGTTTTAAATTTGTAACTTTTTTAACATTTTGAGATTTTGGAATATAGCAAAAGATATACTTGTTAAAAGGTAAACACTCCAAATATCTATTAATTACTTTGGAAGGAAACTTCTTATCTCTTAAACCACAATCTGAAGAAGATTACAGCTTTTGTCAGTTATTAAGTTTTTGTCAGAAGTTACACTATCAGATTTCTGGTGTAGATTCATTTTTATCTTTGCATGGAAATTTTAATCCATGTATACAAATGACATAACTTTCATTTAAAGTATATAATGAATTCAGAAATGCACTCTTAGCATTAAGGTTTATTTACAAGATAGTTCAGAAAATGATAATGTACGGCTTCTTAAATAGCTCAAGTTTTAGCAAATTATTTTTTATATTTAGAATTCTGTTCATACAAATAAAAAATGGCTGAACGAATTCCGAAATTGCAAAGCATATAATTTTATAATTTTTTTCTTTTAGAATCATTTTTCGTTTCTGCTCTAAGTTAAAAAGGGGGAAGAAAATAGCTAGCAAATTTGTTTTGTGTGTGAATTTATAAACTGTTTGAACGCTGTTGGATATTCTTTCTAGCCATAGTTTTGAAAAACCAAAATTCGTGTATGGCTTTGAACAGGAAATTCTAATTTGAATGGTCTATCGCGTGAAACAGCTTAGTCCCGAAACACGATTTGGCATTATTTTACTTTAGTGCGTTGATTCACTTTTCATTCAAGTCTATTACCATTCGGAAAAACGAAAAATATTATTCTTTCATATTTAATCTGCACTTTGTCAATTACCGAACTAAATTATTTAAAAGTAATAGAGTGAGTTCTTAAGAATATTATTTTGGTTGCTTTTTAATTTGATTGATTTAAATAAAATGCATTTAATTCATGCTATTTCTAAACTTCTTAAATATACAGAAGATATACAGCGTTCCTATGTTAGTCTGAATGTAAATTTATCTAATATCCTATTAAGAGTTTTTCGCTATTTCACCTTGGCCATTTCTATTGATAATCTCTTCTGATAAACCGTATTAAACTTTAGAAGAGCCCTTTCGGGCAATCTTTAAAATCTGAGCCCTTTATTTATTTATTTATTTATTTATTGCTCAGGTAGAAGCATTTAGTGCAGCAGACGACCGTACCCTCGAAAGTGCACTCTGTTTTCTAGCCTCTCTATACTCACCAACAAAGGAATGGAGGTTCTTACCCAAATTTGAGTGGCAACCAGTACCAGTTCCTCATATAGAAGGACCATATGATAGAGTATGTGAAATAACAAGTACAATATAATCACGTGTATATTACGAATGCACACACATATATATAAGTAATTATATATATGTGTATAATATATATATATATAAGTAATTATATATGTGTGTATAATATATATATACATATATAAGTAATATATAAAGGAATATATATATAAGTACATATATATATATATAAGTAATACATACAGTTGAGCTCCGCTATAAAGAACGACTTGAAGCTTGAATCGCCGCTTAAAAAGAAATGAATTATCTCACAAATGTGTGTAAAAATTGAATAGTGAATAAGAAACCGATTAACATTGTCTCATTTTTCTAAAATACTTAATAGTAGTTAAATAGTTAATAAATCTAATTTTTAAAAAATCGGTACTTACGTATTAGCGGAACACCCTTGGCACAGCTCGGCGATATTTTACAGAAATAAAGATAATTTGCTGAATTTTCGGTTTGGTAACTTCCAACGCATATGGTTACCTGAAGAGCTGTTCTGCGCATATTTACCAAAGTCTGGCGGCTTCTGAAAATTTCGAGACTTCTGCTGAGGTGGTTGCGATAACACGTAAGTACCAAAAATCATATTTAGATTTAATCATAATTATTATTACTCAGAGTAATTAAATTTTTTAGTTGTTTTTTTTTTCAGTTCCACTATTCGTTGATAATTTTATACGATAAATTACTTTATGGTAACTATTACAATTCTGATTCGTTCCTCGAAATACCCATTTATATAACGAATAATTATTTTATCAGTAATAATATAAAACATATAAAAATGAATATGATAAAACAGTTCCAAGTTCCCCCTGTAATTTAACTTCTGAGTACAAAAATAATATGTAATTTTCTGCTACTGTGTTGCAAATCGCAGGAAAATTTTATCCATGGTTACAAAGCAAAGATGCACATAACGTTCATAACGGATGTTTGTGTCTTGCAACGCAAAACTCTTACTCGAAGTACATAACTTAGCGTGCATTTATACTTAAACGAACCAAACCGATAAAGGTCAAAATTTCATTTCCTAAAAGACAAACCAACTGTATACCGAAGCTCATATGATTCACAACTTCCTCTTTCCCTGAACAGCAAAAATTTCAAAATTTTGTTCATTGCGCTAGATTTGAATAGAGTTCTGTCTGACAAAGAACCAGCTCGTGTCCTTTGGTTCAATGATCCTCCATATGGCATCTTATGATATGCTTATTCTGTCGTCGTTCTCCTAGAACTGGGTCCACGCCTGTCTTACAGAGCCTTTGTTTAGAACATAGAGGGAAATGGTAGGGAAGATAAAGAAAAACAACGATGGATCCTTTATGGATGGAATGTGGATCCTAACATCCTAAACATGGACGATTTTAAGGGTCAGTAAATTTTTCATTTAAAATTCTAGAAGAATATGAAAAACAGGAAAAGGTTTCAATCAAAGATATGCATATAGGTCATTTTATCCCTTTTAAACTTCTAGATGTTCGCGATAGCAGTATATAATAACAGAAAATGTATAGGAAACTGGACAAGACCAAAAATTTCATTCGTAACATCCGGAGATTCGTTATAAGCACTTATCGTTATAGCGCTTTTTCTAAGAGATATAGTTCGTAAATACATCTAGCTAAAGCAATTAATTCGGTTCGCGAAGGTGCCGTGAGTGTAATTTTTATCTTTAATATCACCATTCTGGAAAAAATCGAGTCGTTACTTTTCTTAGAGTCATATATCTTTTTTTTTTTTTTTTTTTCGTGTTGAAGATCAGACAAGGCGTGTAAGCGTATAAAATAAATTTATTTAGGTATTACAAAAAAGTAACACAGCATATAATTCGATAATTTTTTGAAAGCAGTTTTACAAATTGTTAATAAGCAGCGACTGCAAAAGCCACAAACAGAATAAAGAGCAATATTCAAGTTACAGTTATAGTTATTTAACGAAACATAGGCACAAATGGAATCGTGCCAGGAACGTTTGATTTGCGTCGCCCAATCGGGACAGTGGTTAGCGACGCTGACTGCTGTACAGAAGAGCGCGGAGGCACGTACACAAATATTTAAAGATTGTGTTTTCATGACCGGATAGTAACCAATTTTTTGTTAATACATAGCACTGTAGCGTACGGTAGACTGATTGGTTGATTCAGCATTATTTAAATTTAAGCTTAAAAAGGGTTATATACCAACAATCACCAAATGGTTACCACAATCCAGGTATGATGCATTTCTGAAAAACTAAGTATAAACATGGAACTGCCTATAGAACAGAAAAGGGGAATTATCAGATTAAAAGAAAGTCCTTAAAGGGCCTGTTAAAAATTAAAATACTATCCTCCATGTATATGTATGTGTGCATTTATACGCATGCTGGATGTGTTCAAATTTATCACATTATATGCATTTGCCTTTCGACAAGAGCAATTGAAGACATTTTTCTACGAATTTCATTTAAATGCATGCTTACAGTTATAAATGCTGAATGCTGAAATCGAAAAGCATATAATTAAACAAGGAATGTCAAATGCGCTTTCAATGCTCCAGTTATCCTTCTCGAAGTACAGTTAAAAGTGTCACGCTAATATATGAAAAAAGAAAGTGCTCGAAGAATTGCGGTTAAATGTGTTCTTAAACTGCTTCGTTAAATTTCGTAAGAAAATGGATAAATAACCAGAAGTTAGTTCATTATTATATTATAAAAGCATTATGTTTATATCCAAGTTAAAAGTGGGAAAATCCAACTCTGCTCTCGCAGAGAAAGGATCTCCAGATCGTCCAAGTGTTTACCGAAAGTGTTATGGTACAGTAAATTTCCTTATATTATCTTTGCAAATACTAAAAATCCTTCATATTGTCTTCCATTTGATTTACATGCTGGAGAATTATCTCTAATAAAACTAACGTTAGAAAGAAATGTGAGAAACAGCTGCACTGTTGCCCAGAATTCAACTCTGGATCTTCCATATGCTACCCGGACGTGCTACCACTTTCTCTACAAAAGCACGTATGAGGGAACACGATAATTCGTTATGATATTTAAATGAACCGAAAATATTCAAAACTAAAACTTATTTCATTAATTCATTTGAGGTACTGTTATGAGATAAAATGCAGCGTAATTTCCCAGTGCTTGAGCAAAGAAAAAAGGCCCTCCTCTTTAACATTTCTCAGATATTTTTATATTGAAGTTTTATTGCATTTAAAAGTATTATTCATTTCAAAGAATTAAAACACTAAACTATAATTCTCCTTTAGCAAATATTGTTTTTTTTTTTTTTTTTTTTTTTTTCCTGACTTCTGTTTTTTAACAGAATTTTGCTATAAGTTCTCTAATAAAACTAACGTTCTTTTAGCTTAATTTAAAAATTTCCTCTTTGATTCAAGCTCAAGTAAATTATGAAATACAGTATTTAGGAATATTAAAAAACTAATCTATAAAAATGAATGCAACCAAAATTATTTTTTTTTTAAATTTTATACATTCGTCATTAAAAAGTTAAATATTCTTATATTCCTCATTAAGATTTCAAACATTATGTAATTAAATCTATGTGTAAACATGGATAGTTGTTTTTTTACGTAAAAATATCAATTCGTTAAAATTATTTTACTTCTATTAGTTTCTGGGTTATTTGCCTTATTGCCCAAGAATGTTTTCGGAAATACGCAAGATCATCAAGTCTCAACCTGGGCAAGAATTTATTAACAAAGATGAGGTAAGGATTGATTGAAATTTAATTTTTTAAGATAAAACGACTAAAAAAGTAGTAATTTTGAAAATTACTGCAATGAACTATTTTCCTTTTTCTGATTATTGAAGTGCAATGTTAACTTTGTTAATAATATTTACCAAGAGGTTATTGATTAGAACAGTTTAAGATTTGAAAAATTCAAAATTTTTCTTAGTTGTTTGATGCAAAAAAATTAATTCAGTACGTCAAATTAATAAAGAAACCTTAGATAAAAATCTGTTGAAATTAAAATTTTCAATCTTGTAACCAGTGCCTTGTTAAATTAAAGGTTTTTTTTTTAATAAAATAGGAGATTCTTTCTGAGGAATGATGGATAAAATATATATGCAGTCGAGCCGGATTAAATTCTATATTTACTTAAATTCACACTTTGTTGGCCACAACTCACTTGGCACTCCAATCGGGCCTATTTCTAGAACAATTTTGATACTATTGTGATAGAAGCGATCATTGCAGCAAAGCGTCTGGCCATGAGGAAACCACAAGCGCTCTCAACAACATACATTATACACTCCCTACGATACAGACTGGGGATGACATTGATAGTTTCATTCAGGAGCTCACAGAAAAGATCAAAGAAGCTCACGAAAAGGCAAAAGTCGAAATTCATAGAAGGGCATATACAAGAAGCTGTGATCTTCAAGCACTCATTAAACGGAGAAATGCTGCGCGGAGGCTCTTCCAAAGAACCAGATGTCATGAAGACAAAACCCTTTTCAATCGCCTTGCCAATGCAGTCAAGTCTCTTACACGCGTGCAAGCACAACAACGCTGGACCAGCTACCTTAACTCACTTTCCACGGACGATAACTCTCTGTGGAAAGCTGTTTCTAGGTATACAAAATGCTGCAACAAAATTCCGCCCCTTAAAGGCCCCACGAGGATTCATTACACCGAAACTGAGAAAGCAGAACTGTTAGCAATGCAACTGGAATCTCAGTTTTGCACGAACAACATACATGACATTCCAACAGAAAACATTGTTTACACATTTCATAACAATATCACAACAAATACAAACATAAACAACATCCCTCCGGTTATGCCTTCGGAGGTCCTTGACTGTGTCAATAAACTCAAGAAGCGGAAAAGCCCTGGTTTGGATGGGGTCACCAACTATATGCTAAAGAAAATGCCACTTAAGATCATCTTCATCCTGGCGAAGATATTCACCAGGATCATGCAATTACAGCATTTCCCACAGGCCTGGAAAACGGCAAAAATTGTACCCATCCTGAAACCGGGGAAACCAGCATCCGACCCCACTGCTTACCGGCCGATCAGTCTGCTCTCCTCCATGAGCAAGGTCTACGAGGCTATGCTTCTCACAAGAATAAATCATCACCTGGAGCAAAACAACATCTTAATCCCAAGCCAATTCGGTTTCCGGAAAGGCTTGGGAACCACGAACCAGCTCTACAGGGTAGTGGAGCTTATATCGGATGGTCTGCACAAGAGGAGAGTTACTGGCGGTCTGTTTATTGACATAGCCAAGGCCTTTGATCGGGTCTGGCTGGAGGCACTAGTTTACAAAATACACAATCTGGGCTTCCCAGATTACATCACAAACATCACTAAATCCTACCTAACAGGTAGAAACTTTGTCGTTCACGTCTCAGGAACAAATTCTAATCTACACCCCATAAGGGCAGGGGTCCCTTTTAGGGCCCACCTACTTTAATATTTACGTGAACGATATCCCTACAACTCAGGACACAACACTGGCTATGTATGCTGACGACACAGCAATCCTCACACAAAGTGCATTTGCTGGTTCAGCTATACAACATCTACAAAATTACATACATGCACTGGAGACTTGGCTCACTCAATGGAAGATTAAGGTCAACATAGATAAAACTCAAGCCATCCTGTTTACCAGGAAGAAGAAGTTCAAAAAAAACCTGGTAATGTACGGCAGCTCCATCCCCTGGGCCCAGCAAGTCCCTTATCTTGGGGTGATCCTCAATAAAACTCTGTCATGGAACCCACACATCACAAATATTATTAATAAGTTTCGAGCCCGTAAAGCTCAACTCTTCCCCTTAATTGCTCGAAACAGTGTTTTGACTATAGATAACAAGTTACTCATTTATAAATCCATTTTGCGTCCATTACTATGCTATGCATGTCCTGTATGGGCGTACTCATGTAACAGGTATCGGGGCAAGCTACAAATTGCCCAAAATTCCACTCTCAGGCAAATTGCCAATGTACCATGGTACGTGAGGAACAATAAAATTCATGAGGAACTGGGCGTGCGCCCGCTTAAATCTGTATACTACAAAATTGCCAAACGATTTCATAGCAGGCAGTTAGAGATTGGAAACCCTGCCATTAAGATACCTGAGTACGACCCATACAATCTGGACAACAAACACAGGCCTTTGGCCATATTAAATGAATGGATCATGTAATGGCATAGCATAGTAATGGCTTCTCTGCTTTATATTATTATTGTCTTCTTAGCAACACCTTCAGTATGTATATTTATTTTATTATTGTTATTGTACTCTCATGTATGTATATAAATTTGTATATATTTATTTGCCAAGGGCTGGCATCACTTTGGGCACTGCCTTGTGTTTCACATCTTGTTTCTAGGATTTCTCATCACTCGACAGCTTTCTGGCCTTCTGGTAATATATAAAAAATCCCTAAAATCCACCAAAAAAATTAAAAAATTCTAAATATACTTAAAAATGTTAAAAAAAAAAAAAAAAAAAAAAAAAAAAAACTTGATCAGACTAATATGTATAAACTTAATGAAAAGCAGCAATTCGAAACTTCTAAATATATTCTACATGGGGTAGGGCCTTCGGCCCAGGTACCCTGGTGTACCAAGGCACCGTTCCACTGAGGTTGATCTCAACTTCAGTTCCAGCCCCCGCGCCATGAAGGAAGGACGTCTCTTCAGCGAGCTGCCATATAATTGCTTATTTCATCCTCTGCTACTACTATCAAGATCTTCAAGCAAAGTTATCAATCTGTTTACTTAAGAATCACATCTCCCGCAGATTTCAAATCTGCCTATGAATATTTTCATCGCGATCTCAATAATTATTTGCACTATCCAACACAAGCCACATGCCAATGAGCCTATTAATCGTAAAATCTTTCCTATCCGCTTTTTGCTTTAGTGTTTGTACTTGTGTATAAAAAATTTATAAAAAACCAAAAAAAGTATAAAATACAAAAAAATTTTAAAAACCTAAAAACTTATAAAAAGATTATGATACTTAAGTTTTTATTTCTCATCTCTATCCCTAAACTTTCTTGAGCCTGTGGCTCCCTCTAGTGTGCATCAAGTAAATCACTTATGCAAAATTTTTCCTATTTCTGCTCGCTTTTAGTAATTCTGATGTGGAGGTACATGGTTTTGAACCATAGGAACTCCGAAATTTTTAAATCATTGGCATTGGCAGGCTTTCGCCACTTGACCACTCTTCGTCTTCGGACGCGGTGCATTAAGATGCACCTTTGAATTACTAAAAAACCCGTGAGCGGCCAATGGCTACTTGATCTATTAGTAAAAACTCGTAGTAGTTGAGACCATAAAGTGAAACTGAAGATTCAAGATTCAAGAGAACTTCCAGTCGGTCAACTCATGCATTGCCTCCCAGCACCTACTCTCCTTACTTACTGCATAGACTTAATTCAAGTTAAAACTGCACAAAAGCTAAAATTGAACTGCCTTCTCTTCTCATGTACTTTTGATTGAAAATTTGAAGAAAAGAAATATCAATCTTCATTGGATTAAAGGTCATATTGGACACGAAGGAAATGAATTAGCTGTCATTTGTGCTAAACAAGCTACGTTGAAGAGTTCGATTGAAACTTTTAAAAATGCATTAAAGAATAGAATAATTGATATATCGCAGGACTTCTGGGACAAAGATTCAAAAGGAAAGTACACTTACAGATTTTTTAGAAAAGTTAATAAAAAGAGGTGTATTGGTAATGGGTTTTGGGGCCAATTTCTAACAAATCATGCACATGTACCAACTCCAACTCCAACTTGCTTTATTTGCCGCGATAACCTGCGAAATTGCAGGTTGTGTTCCGGCTATAGAACTTTGGTGCTTCTAGGAGATCTGCAGGTAAGGAAATGCCGAACGTAGTTCTCGTGGAGACAGGATAGCAGATGCAGGGGGTGTGACCAATGTCACGTGATGAGCGATAGGACATCAGGTTGGCGATGAGGTATCCAGGCATCGTAGCGCTGTAAATCTGAAGTTTTACAATAGTTATGCATAAAATAGTACTAAATCAGTTCATAAAAGGTGTGTGTTTGCAGTCATAAATGCAGAAAATAAAATACGATTCCAAAAAGTAAAATAGTATATACAGGAAAAATATAAGTAATATCTTGTGGGCATGGCTGTGTGTGTGTCACATGATCATCCGGCTAAGATTTCTAAACATCATTATTTACAAGTCAAATAAGTTTTTCAGAGTACTACATACTACTTAAAAACACAAATTATGTTGGAAAATCCTGGTTTCCACTGAGTAGAAAAGCGGCATATGGACGGAGGTGCCTGTCCTCGTGTAAAATTTCATAGTGAAATAGGTTGAAAATGTCCATATGTTGGCACTCCTTAGCGGCGTCATAAAATGCCGTGTTAGTTCTTAAATTTCCACTATTGTATCCATTTTTAAATCTTCATGGAGACGTTTGTTCTTCACATACGGGTGTGCATTGTGATAATTCTTAAAAATTGGTTTGCACAACTTGTAATTTTGGATTTCACCCTTCGTAGCGGTAGTCCATGCTGGCGAAGCGTACGTCATGATGGGTCGGATGTGCTAGATAAATAAGTCGTTTCTTGTCCAACGAAAGTTTTGAATATTTCCCTATCATGGGATATAAACATTTCATGAGTTTAATCGCTTTATCCCTGATTTGTTGGATGTGATGCTGCCATGTGAGCTTGTCGTTGATGGTGATGCCCAGATATTTGGCTTGTTTCACGATAGGCACAGCCTCGTTCAAAAAGATAAACACTTTGCCTGATCGGAACATTTTTCTTCCTTTTCCTTATGAGTAGGAGCTGCGATTTTTGAGCGTTAATTCGTATCTTCCAATATCCACACCATTGTTCTATGGAGGGAATAGTGTCTTGGAGTTTCCGAATAGCATGATTGATGTTAGCAGACTTCACTGCCAAGGCAGTGTCGTCTGCATAACAGGCTAGCATAGAATTATGATTTAAATGTAATCTCGGAAAGTCTGAAACGTAGAATAGATAGAGTATAGGGCCAGTCACAGAACCCTGTGGAACACCGCTAGTCATTATTTTAGTGCTGGATAATTCATTTTTTACCAAGATCCTGAATGTTCGATCCCTGATAAACACATGTACCATTATATTATAGTAGATTTAATATTAAATATTTGAAGTGTCTATGTGATGAACAAGAAGCTGATGTTGAGCATGTAATATTATGTGATTTGTTGAAAAATAAGTTGTTAAAGTTCTTACCATGTTTGAATACAGAAAATGATATTGTAAAAATTTTTCAAATTGAAAAATTTAAAAAAGGAATAATAGAAATTATGAAAATTATTGCTGAATCTGAAAATGTTATATTTGAACAGTCACTGTAATTTATTATTTATATTGTTATGTTAAAAAAAGTTATAAGAGTACAAGTAATCTACTGCAAATTACTTTATTATGTATATTTTTATGAATATTAATTTAAGTAAATTCAAGTTGGATTGTACTGTATGAATTCTTTTTATTGTATTATTTGTAATCAAAATAGATTGTAATTGATGTAATTTTGTTTTGTTTTGTGTGTGTATATGTGTGTGTGTGTGTATTGAGGATACGGCAAAGCACACTAGGGCTATCTGCCTAAGGGGAGGGATGCCTTCGTGGAGGACTTTCTAAGGCAAACTGGCTCGTATACACGTTACACATGGGGAAAACCACGAAAACGCCCATGCAGCCAGCCCGTTCGCGGAATTCGAACCTCGGACCGAACTACCAGTGTTCAGCGATTTTACCGCTCGGCCGCTGGTGGGCTTGTTTTGTTTTGTAAAATTTTATGTTTAAATAAAGGTATTTGTTGGTGAGGTCAGCAGATCTTCCCTTAGAGTATGAGTACGGTATGGTGGTTTCATAAAATTTTGAATCGTTCTAATAATCCCTGCTTTTGCCGCAAGGTAGCAGGTTTAAAATACCAGTCTTACTGCCTTCTTTTATGACTTGTTACTTAGACCAATTTTCGCCTTCGGGCGCTGTGCTCATGCACCTCTGAATTATTTTAAAAATTTTACGAGCGGCCACTTTCCTACTTTGAGATATTAGTTAAAATTCTTACGAAATTGGCACTATTTACAGGAATTGACGATTCAAGATTCAATCCTAGCTCCCTACGCAGCAATTCTTCACGAAAGTCAGAAAATGCAGAGCCATGACATCAGCACCAGACAGTGTTCCGCCCTGCCCGAAAATTAGGAGTATTTCACTCATATTAACTGTATTCAAAAGCATACTAAGGACTTTACTACTTTTGACAATTGCGTTGTTAAAATGATTATATTCTCGCTCCTGATAGGACTTCAGTTCATAACACTCTCACCGCCAGTGAGTCTGCAGAGACAACGTGTCTCATTTTATTAATTTTAAGTGTTCACATCTTTATGGTGAAACAATTATGAAGAGTCGTTATGTGTGAGTCCCCTAGTGGGATTCCGTGATATGCTCTGGTAAAAGCAGAATAAATTCCTGCTAAACACCAGAATACACTACTATAGCATCAAAGCATCACCATCCTAGCTATCCTCTTGGACTCATTGATGAAGTAACCACCCTACTTCAAGCACCCGCTGAGGACGGACATCAAGGTAGCCGGAAAACAACATGCATTTAGCATGTTAATCGCGGTGACTAGCGGAACCTGAATTTCTCATTCCGCAAGCACTTTGTCGAAGTTTACTCAGAAGAGAAACAAATGTCGGAATTCGATACAGGCAGATCGTTGCTCATCGAGATTGTGCATTATCGTTCCCTCATATTGCCCGTCGCACTGGTCGACATCCAACCACTGTCATGGGAATATAGAAATGAACGGGTTGCTGAGGGTGAACACTGAACAGCATGCAAGATCTCAATACCCGCCCATGAATAACTCCCGAGAGGAGAGACATATTTTGAGGTCAGCATCACAGACCATTATTCAGGAGATGGGCAAGTTTGCAGCATGCCTAGTATCCGCTCGTACGGTGCTTTGACGTTTGCAGCCGCGTGGTCTACCCACACGACGACTATTACTTCGGCGTCCCTTGACAATGTAGCATAGAGAGAGACGGCGACTCTGGTGCGCAAAACGACATAGCTGCGAACAGGAGGGACACAATGACGCCTTTTCAAACGAGTTCCGGTTCTACGTGGAGTATTCGGATGACTGGATACGTGTCTGGAGTGTCCGAGGAGACAGCACGGCGCCTATTGCATTCCATAGAGGAACAGAAGCCCTATACTTGATGTAATGTTTTGGGCAATCATTGGATGCACGACACGCTCATGTCTAGTTCGGATCAACGTTAATTTGAAAGCAGATCGGTACTTTTCTGACATATTACGATCAGCAGTTGTGCCCCATCTTCGAGGCCTGCCAAAGGCCACCTTCCAACAGCATAATGCAAGACCACATGTTGCACTTCGTGTTTTGACCTTCTTCGATACACAGGATATTTGATTGCTGCCCTGGCCTGCACGGTCT